ATTTTATTATAGAGTATCGATGACGACATTTCTTTTTAGCTGGGGGGCGGGGGGGGGGGGGGGGGGCGGGGGCGGCTTAGACGTTCTTTCTCAAGGGTGGGGCTTCGCCCCTACCCGAAGAATTGTATGAAAGAAACTCTTCACGCAAACCACTTAGATTAGACAACATTGGCTTTTTAATTCAATGTTTACTCGAGAATCAATGACGTCATATTATTTTTTGCACTCTCCCGGCTGTCGACTTTTTTCTACTATATGCTGAATATGACGTCATGTTTCGCTTCCGTCTTACTATGAAAGTTTTTAATTTGCTTGTGTTTTCTCTAGAGCGTTCTTGTCAGATAGATAGACAGATAGATAGATAGATAGATAGATACATACATAGACAGACAGACAGCGAAACTATTATATAGAATTGTTTGGCGTTCACTTGGGTGCGCAATTCTTTTCTCTACGAGATTCTATTATATTTTAAAAAGTTTAAGTAATTAAAAATGGATTAAAAACCATGTCTATATCCCAAGGTGCTATCCCCCGTAGTGTTATATAAGAATATTCGAGAAAGTTTAGGGGAGATCACTCCCGGTTTATTTTTGTTACAATAGCAGAACATGAACGTCTATTGTATTGTTTAAAACCTATCGTCCGCGCCTGTGAACTAGGTTTTTGGCAATCTTAAAGTCAATAAGCTGTGAGTTTAACCCAGGATAGCACCAACCATTCAGACAACCTTAGGCACTAGAGCCAATAAATATTAGGTTGAACCCAGGATCGCACCAACCATTTAGACTACATTAGGCCTTAGAGCCAATAAATATTAGGTTGAACCCAGGATCGCACCAACCATTTAGACAACCTTAGGCACTAGAGCCAATAAATATTAGGTTGAACACAGGGTCGCACCAACCATTTAAATCAACAATTTAGACAATCTTAAAGCCAATAAATTCTAGGTTGAACCCAGGATCGCACCAACCATTTAGACTACATTAGGCCTTAGAGCCAATAAATATTAGGTTGAACCCAGGATCGCACCAACCATTTAGACAACCTTAGGCACTAGAGCCAATAAATATTAGGTTGAACACAGGGTCGCACCAACCATTTAAATCAACAATTTAGACAATCTTAAAGCCAATAAATTCTAGGTTTAACCCATGATAGCACCGAGCATTTAGCACTACCGAATTTTTTAACGTTAAAGCTCGCACCAATTGAATAGATTATTGTCATGGCGGCTATCCTTAGTGTCAAATATATCACGGCTTGTGTTTTGAAATCGTGTGACATGGTTTACAGCTATTATCACAAAAAATATCGATTGGCTAACAAAATGCCTGATTGGAGAAGAATATTGCTATAAAAATAGAGCAAAAAAATCTAAATCAAACACGATACCGACTACAATTAAATAGTTTAAAACTGAGACATGGCCTACACATTCTTAAAACCAGCCTTATAGTTAAATAGCAGTCTTTATGGAGCATTAGTAAGCGCTGTAATTTTTCTAACGTTCCGTGGACACATGTAATAAGGGAGTCCAGAGTGCCAGATGTGGACGAGCCCATGTTTGCGATTGGATCTTAAACATTAAATATCTTTGGACAGTAAACAACATTAACTTATGAAAAGTACATCCTTGTCTTGTTATATGTAATTAATTTACAAAAGTATATATAAATACATATATATATATATATATATATATATATATATATATATATATATATATATAATATTTCTCAAGAGGACAATTCTGGTCAATAGAAAGAGAAGAATAATGACTCTCTATTGGGTTCTCAGTGTGTGTGTGTGGGAGGGTTAAGGTTTAAGAGGAGAAAGTTGGCTACAACTACAAGTACATTTAAATAAGTTGAACATATCAGTTCTTAATAAGTAGAAAAACTTAAGAACTGATATGTTCAACGAGGGAAGGGTGGATGCCTCACGGAGCGCAGGAACTTAGATTCTACATGTTCCATTAACTGTGTGCCACCATACACCATCTGTGTTGACGCCTGGCTGACGCTAAATCAGTAAGTTATTCCTGGACACGGCTCGAGCCAACACTGGTAGGCCCTAGACTCTAGCTACGGGGTTTAAAACCCTTTACACATTTCTTTCTGCCCGAATGCCGTTAATGGCAGCTAAATATAGTCTAACCTACAAGGAAACGTGCCCATTGGGACCATAACGATTAGATAACACATAATTCCATTTACAAAATCATTTCCTTGTTCTCCACTTTTAAGTCCCATAAAACATAGTTTTGATAAAATAAATTTGTAGAGAAAAATCTAATTCATTCCTAACAACTCCAGTTATATGCATAGAAGAAAATAACGCTGCTACTGCATGGATGTAGAAATATAAACAATAAAAGTAACGAAAGAAAAAGTTGCAGGAATTCACGTCCGATTCCTGACCTTACGACTGATTGTGTATGTTGTTTACTTTTTTTATTTTGAAAAGTTTGTTATATGGTATATCTATATCGTAACATAATAGGGGTTGCTAAGGCCTACGGTGGGTGGGTGGGGGGGGGGGGGGGGGGAGAGAGAGAGAGAGAGAGAGAGAAAGGGACAATTGCAAAAATTGACAAGGGGAGACAACCGAGGATAACTAATGCTAAAAAGTCACATTATTTTACAGTAAACCTCCCGTCACAACTGCATTTAAACAATGTCAAAGCTTTACTGATGGGTACCTAACTCACGTTAGGGAAAGTAAAGGCGGCTGGGCATAGTGCTGACCACACTATCTCTTCATATGCCGAGGTCACAGAAACAAGTGAACTCTACTTCACTTGCCCCATAGACCGTCAGGTTTGAAAGGGAACTTTACAAAGCTTTACTATATTGTGTTGAAATCTTATTGGATCTTTTATTAAAGAAGTAGAAACAATGTGAAAATAATTATGAAACAATCACAAGTCTGTGTTCAATGACATTGCTCGACCCCTTGACACATTTATGTAACACAATACAACTAAAAGATTAACCAGCCCCTATTCACTTATTTATAACATGAGCACGATCCTTACGTTAAACTTGCATTAGGTTTTTATTTGTATTCCCTAAATTTTAAATTTATTTTCTGTCCTACGGATCTTCCATTTATGACTTTCACAACAAATGGAATTTTAGATCCCCCTCCCCATCCCATTGTTCAGAAGTGTCAATGTTGAACGACCCACCCCCACGTGATCTTCCAATAAATGTAATTAAAGTTAAACTACCAAAACGTACTTCAAATTAAGATAGATCTACTTATTTAATAACATTCTTTATGTATGTGTACCAGGTAATGCTAATAATTAATTAATTATAATGTGATGTATTCTTTTCGGTAATATCTGTGATCCTCCGCGTGTAGGAATTACTTCAAAATTAATGCCCCCCCCCATTACTCTTTAATTTATCATTTTCCACTATGTGAATAGATTTATTAAAAGATTAACTAAGAGGTCATCCATAAATGACGTCACGCTTTTTTGACGATTTTTATCTCCCCCCTCTCCTCCGTCACACATTATCACAAAATGCCAGACACCCCCCCCCCCCCTAAAATGACGTCACACCTCAGCCTACAACCCCCCCCCCTCCCTTAAAATTGCAGTCGAATTTTTTTTAAACATCGATATTTTTCCAAAATCTTGTCTGAATTCTGTCAAAATAGAGTATTTTGATCAATTCCTATTACGATTTATTAAAACAGTTTTCTAAAACGCGAAATAACGTCTAAAATTCGTTTTCTAACATTGCTTTTTTTATTTATGCAAAAGTGTTACGTCGCACCATCTGAACCCCCCCCCCCCCTCCCTCCCCCTCATCACACACCATCACAAAATTAGGGACCCCCCTCCCCCCTACGAGTGTGATGTCATTTATGGACGACCCCTAACAATACAACAATGATATTTTTTTCTCCATATTATAATACCAAGACTCTAAAGACATCTAACTATAATTAGATCGGTAGGTTCACTTAAGACATAAATTGTCTCGGGTGTAAGGAGAGGGGCGTGCCACTCTATTTTTATACCTACTTCTATACTCTGATCATCCCCACAAAGATTTATCATTTTCAGTCTAGACTCTAGATCTCGATTTCTAGTATATCTAGATCTAGGTCTACATCAAATAAATCCTACTTACACTCCCCCCCCCCCCGTAAATGTGACAATATTTTAAATTATCAAAAGCATTTTGCTGCACTTTGTCTTATAGCTTTATTTTATACTACTATAGTACCTTAAGTAAGAGTTATTAGTTTATAGCCTGCTTCACTAGCTAGTTCTAGATCTAGATCTAGTACTAGACTACTCCTAGAGATAGACTAGTGATAAATAAAATGCAAGGATAATGGACAGTGAAATACAGGAAGAAATCTTACCTGTTGGCTTCTCACATTGGCCTTGTCAGTTGAATTTATAATTGATGTAGATATATTTCTGTCACGCCACGGCCTGATTCGGTTGCTTGAAATATAAGGTAGGCCTTATAACAGCGAAAAACTTGTTTAGTTCCTGCATGATGAACATCTTTTTCATCGTCTGCTGTTGTAGTTAGTGTACACAGTGCAGCGTACAGAGCTGGCAAGTGATTAGTTGCTAGCATTGTGTTTGGCCCAATCATAAGCTTTATGACAGAAAGCTTCAGCGGGTATCCAATCGCAAGCTCCCACTATGGCGGCGTAGTGTTTATTGATTGTTATAGAATTGTGAGTGGATTTGTGCTAGCCTACGATTCAGTTGTGTATTTAGATCCAGACCAACAAACGGCTATAGGCCTAATTCTCAACACGGGCTGACAATGTCATCTAGGCCTCCTGACATAGGCTAGGCCCCTACGTACAATTTTCTACTGCTAGCAGCGTGTGGTGAAACCACTTCTTAGCGAGAGCCGCTTGTACCTCGTCTGCTAGATCCAGGATTTCGCGCGCTTTAGTAGTTTTTAATATTTTATTGTGTGCTCATGAACAATCGTGTCTGTGTGCGATGTAAATAAATTCTGAATACCGGGGGAACATTTGTCAACGAATGGAGACATGGTTGTAGATCTACATAGAGGATAGCATAATGAGTTAATTAATTAAAATAGCCAACAATTAGAATGTAGGTAGGCAGTGATCGCAGAGAAATCTACTTGGTTCTGTGGCCAGTACTCAACTCGCTCGTTTAAATCAGCTGATGTGCAGTGAGATACAAATAGATCTACTCACTTGTGTGAGCAGGACGAGCTAATCAATGGCTGAAGGAAGGTACTCGAGCTATGGAACGTCTGACCGTTCACAGGAGAAAGCTTTTATTGACAAGGTGTATCTTTTAAAAGGTAGAGTCCATTGTATGTTAATTAGATCTAGATATCTATATTATTCTAGATCTTAAATACTTAACTAGATCTAGGTATAGATCTAGCTAGGCCTCGAGATCTACGTCATAATAGTAGAAACCTAGACATTAGACATAGATTAGTATTAGTAAATATTAGACTATTATATAATATATCTAGATCTAGTTTCTATCAGAGTTTCTTCCAGGTATCTTTTCGGGGGGGGGGGGGGGACGACGACGACGACACACGACGACTCCCCCCCCCCCCGAAGAAAGTCTACCGCCCCCCCCCCCCCCCCGAACGAAATGGAATTTATATAGAAAACATACTTTTACCAGTGTCCGCCGCCCCTCCCCCCCCCTCCGAAAAAAAAGTCTGGTTTCTATCTAAAATATAGTTAGTAGTAGTCTACTAGGCTATTTAATTTCAATATCTATAAAATATCTAGATCTAGACCTAGAATATAACTCTAGATCTACAACAAGATCTAATATTTATTAAACGACAAGAATGTTCAAAACTAAATTTACTCACTTTAAAAAACCATGGGGGGGGGGGGGGGGGTGTTGAATCATCAAGTCAGAAAATTGCAAATTATTTTGAAGAAAAATGTTGTTTTTTTTTTTGCCAGTATAGTTAATGGTCAGCCAGTGGCGTAGCGAGGTCGGATGTCACCCGGTGCGGCACTTAATGGTGTCACCTCCCCCCCCCCGTCAAACTTTCGATTTGCATCTCCCCTCAAACTTTCGATTTGCACCCCCACCCCCCTCAAACTTTCGATTTGCACCTCTTAAAAGACTATTAGACACTCGAATTAATCACTTAATTAAGTGGAATTATCATTTTTTCTCTATATATTTTGCTATTTTTTGCCCCCTAAATGGTGTCACACGGTGCGGTCCGCACCCCCGCTCCCCCCCCCTCGCTACGCCACTGTGGTCAACTAGTGTGAAAAAGCATTTTCAAGTACAAATTGACGATACACACGGACTGGTGGGGGGGGGGGGGGGATCACCATAAAGTAAACCTGCCAACTATAGAGAAAACAATGCTACATCCAACTGTATTTATAATCGACTATCGATAAACATCGTTACTATTAAATGTGCACACTTTAAAACTGTCAAGCTGAGAGGGGGGGGCGACACCAACTGCAAAATTCACAGAGGCATATATAAATAAATAGATGAATAAATATATATTGGGGGTGACACCATCAGGTACCGCACCGGGTGACACACGACCTAGCGATGCCACTGGTCTTACCACCAACTTGTTAGACATAATAGACTAAGTGTACATTGTCTATGTGTGCTTCTAATATCTTAGACACCAATCACTTTTGTGAGGTAGCCAGCATTAATAATGTCTTGTCATGAAATAACAATCGATCGATCCTTTAGCAAAACTAGATCGATAGGCCTAGACAAAGGGCTCTATTTGAACCCTGGAACCCCTAGACCTTCATGCTGGCAGAAGAACGCATTGACACATATTTTAGTTACATCCTGATTTTAAAACCACAAACATTGATAGACAATTTCTACTGTAAATACACTACCCCCCCCCCTCTCCACGCCACGGAGAAAAATATTTGAAAGAAATATTGCAGCTAGTTTTCTGCTGGACTGCTCTTTAAAGTTGAACAACTGGTATTGTGTAAGACCGTAGACTGTACTCCTCACTAGCCCATGTTGTGTCAGACCGTAGACTGTATTGCCCATGTTGTGTCAGACCGTAGACTGTACTCCTCACTTGCCAATGTTGTGTCAGACCGTAGACTTTACCCCTCACTTGCCCATGTTGTGTCAGACCGTAGACTGTACTCCTCACTTGCCAATGTTGTGTCAGACCGTAGACTGTACTCCTCACTTGCCAATGTTGTGTAAGACCGTAGACTGTACTCCTCACTAGCCCATGTTGTGTCAGACCGTAGACTGTACTCCTCACTTGTCCTATGCCAATTTTGTGTCAGACCGTAGACTTTACTCCTCACTTGCCAATGTTGTGTCAGACCGTAGACTGTACTCCTCACTTGCCAATTTTGTGTCAGACCGTAGACTTTACTCCTCACTTGCCAATGTTGTGTCAGACCGTAGACTGTACTCCTCACTTGCCCATGTTGTGTCAGACCGTAGACTTTAGTCCTCACTTGCCAATGTTGTGTCAGACCGTAGACTGTACTCCTCACTTGCCAATGTTGTGTCAGACCGTAGACTGTACTCCTCACTTGCCAATGTTGTGTCAGACCGTAGACTGTACTCCTCACTTGCCAATGTTGTGTCAGACCGTAGACTGTACTCCTCACTTGCCAATGTTGTGTCAGACCGTAGACTGTACTCCTCACTTGCCAATGTTGTGTCAGACCGTAGACTGTACCCCTCACTTGTCCTATGCCAATGTTGTGTCAGACCGTAGACTGTACTCCTCTCTTGCCAATGTTGTGTCAGAACGTAGACTGTACTCCTCACTTTCCCAACACGCTCCAGTACACATCCCATCCTCGCCTAGTTTATCCCAGGCATGTTCACGCCCCATCGACCTAATTCGTTAATTCCCCGTGAACCCACCCCTCTCCTTCTGAATATCTAGGCCACTGCCATGTTTACATGACGTATTCTATCAATCATCGGGCCACCGAGTAGCTGGCCTCGATCTACCAAATTTAGTAGTTACAGATAAATTTAAAATCGATGAGATCAGCTGAGCCGAGTAATTAAATTGTGACGTAAATATATAAGAGAAGATGTACTGACACAATAAACATTTAATACATCATGTTAAAGAGACATAACCATATTGCACCACTGCTCACCCTGACCTATCACACATATTATGCTGCCACCCTTACAAGAAGCATCTCCTAACTTGCTTAATTAAGTACCTAATGTAACAAACACCTTGCCATAGACACACAATTCTGCTTCCTAGCCCCATGCATTTACAAAAAAATATCCTCTCATCACACTTTACACCATGAACCGATTGATTAACCCCCCGCAGGATATTCATGAGAGTGTATGTAGTTATTTGATACTTATTTTAATGAAATTAGCTGATGACGGAATAGTTTAATTAATTTATCGGTACCCCAGCATGTTGTAGCGTTGTCTCACGCTACCACCAGTGGCAAACGACTGTTTTTTTTTCTTTATTTGACTGAAACAACACAACTACATACTTATTATTACTTGGCGGGACTAATTGAAAGCTGCATAGTTTGAAGATGGGCTGCATACATTCATGGCTAGTCGCACGAGCTTTTATGGTTACACAGAATTATCAGCGATGATAAGACAATTGGTTGTTGGAATTTTTTTTGTTCTGCTGTAGCTGTGCACTACACTAATGTATGGCACCATTAGGAGAATTTCGCCAGAGAACAATTGATCTAATTAGTTGGTGCAGTCGCTTGACAAGTAATTATCTTCCTCATTAGTGATTACGTTCGCCATTCAATTCCTGCCTTATTTTTTAGGCCTAAAAATAGCCTTTATTTAACCGCCAATGTATCTAAAGAGAGCACTTATTTTTATCCATACATTGATAAGACTTAAGTGGGTTTTTTTCGGTGTCGAGGGAGGAATTATAAAGTCTGAACGCGCCTTGATTGTTAAAAACAATTCTTTTTTAAACGTACTGGTTGAAATTAATAGCCTTTTAGTTTCCAGCTATGTTTGGAACACTGACCATAACGTGTATTCTAGTAAGTTAATCCTGCCACATAACTGTCAAAACCTTTATTAGCTGACCACATGCGAATGAAGCTCTAATGCTGGGAGATATATTTAATGTACAAACTTTACATGGGTGGCATCGGAAGGTGTCGGACAGGAGCAGGATATTACCCCCCCCCCCCCCCCGATTTTCTCCTCCCCCACCCCCCCTTGATACCCACCTGGATAAACTGCCCCCCCCCCCTGCCGATTTCTTTCTATAAATTCCAACCTCCGTCAAAAAAAAAATCAGCGGTACGACATTACCCAACTTGTCAATTAGCCCTTGACCTTTTAGAGATGGATGCGGATAGGGATGGGCTAAGGATAAATTAGGAATGAGATCGGTATTGGGAAAGGGATATGAATAGGATTTGAAATATGGATAATTTTAGGAATAGGGTTAGGGATATAGAGATTGAGATGAATAGGTATAGGTATAATATGTATTTTAGATATCAAGGATATTGATTGGGGGGGGAGGCAAGTGACGAGGGGAAGGGTTCATGTTCTAGATCTGCGCCTGACGTCGACATTTCCCTGTCGTCATTACTTCTCGGTCGTCACTATTTCTCTGTCATGTCACCATACTATCTCACCGTGTCACCATTTGACCGTCATGTCACCACTCGTTCTCCGTATAGCGGCTGTTAGCTGCCGTGAGTAGTGCCTATGTGACCGGACATCCTTGTTTACTCAGCGTGTGCAGGTGCGAGCCACTCACGTGCCAGCCGTTCACCGTGGTCGATTGTCCGCCGAGACAAATGGTGGATGTTGTCTGAGATTTGTTGGATTCATTTTGTATCGACCGATGCGTCAGCACATTGGAACTGTGACAATCGGTCCGTTGGCCTGTCGGTTGGGTCTCTTGTGTGCTGCAGTTGTCCTGTCAGACTGATGGATGAGCTCAGTTGACACAGAGAAGACGGTTCATTTTCCCGGTCATATTTTCAGTGGGCCCCTTAAACATAATTATTGCCAATAATCAATAATGGCAGGAAGGCTCCAGGGAAATGTTTTAGCCAGATGCCCCACTCAGACTAAATCCGACCTTGTTTTCAGATTGAGATCGAACCAATCGATGAGCGCTGTTTTAAAACCATTGGGAAGAGTCTTCTCGTTTCTAGTGGTGGCGATCGATATTCACAGTTATTCACTTTTTATCACTCATATCAAACCCGCTCTACCGATGGGCGGTATTAGTTTCAACGGGCTTTATAGGATAACCCGTCAAGTGTATGATGTTAACTAATTGGTAACCTGTCACATTCACGATTTTAACAAATTGGTAACCTGTCATATGCACGATGTTAACAAATTGGTAACCTGTCATACGCGCGATGTTAACAAATTGGTAACCTGCCACATGCACGATGTTAAAACTTGAAGTTTATTTGTCAACAGAGATCGACGTCATTTTACTGTTATTCCTGCACCCATAAATAACATTTCACAAGCTACTAGTTTATTAACATCATATTTTACTTCTCACTAGTCAACTACTAATTCATTTACAATGAAACAAGTTTCGTTTGAGGTCTAATAGAAAGCACGAACCGTTTCTATATAATGACGAATCGACAGATAATAGTTGATGTCATCTGTCCCGACTACAGCATTCATTTACTAAACTTTACTAAGAATACCTACCTGCCTAAACCTTAACCTTTCAAATCGTATATTGATTCCAGATGAACAAGAAAGAGTACAGAAAAAAACTTTTACAAACTGGATGAACACCTACCTTTGTAAGGTGAGTCTAGGGATTAAATAATAAGGGTCATCTAGGTCAAAGTTATGGTCTTTTCATTTAAATGATGAGTCACTTGGCGTTATCTTATTTGATTGGGGGGGGGGGTCAGAGTTAGGGTCTTTGATCTTCAAAACACCCTAAAAGCAGTCATCAGGATCAGTGGCGTAGCGAGGTCGGGTGTCACCCGGTGCGGCACTTAATGTTGTCACCCCCCAGAGGCGTAGCGACCCTTCCCGGGGACAAACTTTCAAGTTTTCGATTTGCACCCACCCCCCTCAAACTTTCGATTTGCACCCCCCTCAAGTTTTCGATTTGCACCCCCCCTCAAGTTTTTCTCTATATATTTTGCTATTTTTTGCCTTGGTGTCACCCCCCTAAATGGTGTCACCCGATGCGATGCGCCCCCCCGCCCCCCCCCCCCCCCCCCCCGCTACGCCACTGATCAGGATATAACAGGGAAAAATCAACACTCACCATGTCAGCAGAGTTCACGGTGATGGTGATATTGTGAAAATGATTAATGCTTTATAGACTTAAGCCCAACTACAGTTTGTTGTAAAATACTACTATCTAAACACCCAACTGATCTTTACAGAGAATCCCACCTATCAAAGTTGAGAATCTATTCGAGGACATCAAAGATGGCGTTGTCCTGCTGTCCCTACTGGAGGTGTTGTCTGGTGAAAAATTGGTAAGTTACGTAGGTAGTGTGTGGTAACTTATGGAGAGGGTCTGGTATTATTGGAAGTGGGGGGGGGGGGGGTCACACAACAGTAGTGTGTGGTAACTTATGGAGAAGGCCTGGTTACTATTGGAAGGGAGGGGGAGGGGTCACACAAAAGTAATGTGTGGTAACTTATGGAGAAGGCCTGGTCACTATTGGTAGGGAGGGGTCACACAAAAGTAGTGTGTGGTAACTTATGGAGAGGGTCTGGTACTATTGGAAGGGAGGGGGAGGGGTCACACAAAAGTAATGTGTGGTAACTTATGGAGAGGGTCTGGTCACTATTGGTAGGGAGGGGTCACACAAAAGTAGTGTGTGGTAACTTATGGAGAGGGTCTGGTACTATTGTGAGGGAGGGGGTCACACAAAAGTAATGTGTGGTAACTTATGGAGAGGGTCTGGTACTATTGTGAGGGAGGGGGTCACACAAAAGTAATGTGTGGTAACTTATGGAGAAGGCCTGGTCACTATTGGTAGGGAGGGGTCACACAAAAGTAGTGTGTGGTAACTTATGGAGAGGGTCTGGTACTATTGTGAGGGAGGGGGTCACACAAAAGTAGTGTGTGGTAACTTATGGAGAGGGTCTGGTACTATTGTGAGGGGGGGGGGGGGTTCACACAAAAGTAGTGTGTGGTAACTTATGGAGAGGGTCTGGTACTATTGTGAGGGAGGGGGTCACACAAAAGTAGTGTGTGGTAACTTATGGAGAGGGTCTGGTACTATTGTGAGGGAGGGGGTCACACAAAAGTAGTGTGTGGTAACTTATGGAGAGGATCTGGTCACTATTGGAAGGGAGGGGGGGGTCACACAAAAGTAGTGTGTTTTACCCAGTCATCCAAACGTATAGTCATTAGTCCAAATGAATTGATTTTTTTAGAATTCTCGTTCTCTATGACTAAAACTTAGTTTAAACATCCATCTTAATTCTTTTAAAAGCTCCAACATTGAAGGGGATCTGAAGGTCGTTCAATATCTCTGTATCTGACGGTGGGGTGGTGTGTTCTATCAAACGTTTGTCTAGCACCCCAACACGAATGTAGAACATGTCCTCCAATGTTGCACGGAGCCCATGGACAAGGGCTGTCAATACACATTCTTCTCCTACAGCTTGAAAGAACACGTTTAATCTCCTACCTACGTGTCACCTTGTTGTCCAAACAATAGCGACCAGAGTTGCTCGAGCATTCCACCCTTGTTATTCTATTGTCTCTAGCATTGTTACGGCCAATCGGGGCTAATCGATACAAGAAATATTGGCCGTTCTTAAAATCATCGGCTCCAGACAGAACTTCGCGTAGGCTTCATTCAATGTGTGCCACATTAAAGGCCTTTTAAGTCCTCAAGTCAGGGATTGAAGTGTCGTTACGGTTAACAGCTCTTGACGTTTTAAAGTGTTCTCTCTCTCTTGTTTATTTCATGTTTGGTCCATGTTACGTCTCATACTATGTTATACCTCACAAAACAACATATTGCTTCAAGGCAATATTCCTTCAAAACGCGACCATTTTCCACACACATCAGACAGATATCCTACATTAAACAGCCTCCCACCCACACGTTCCAAAGATATTCTTCACAAAACATCCTTACTCCACTCAAACCGAAAAAATATTGGCATAACACATCCACAGGAGAAGCAGTTTGGCAACATTCCTGTCTTTGTTTAGTTTCAGATCTGAATATTCCTAATGCTTTGGAAGAAATGTGAGAGAGTGGAAACAATCATTTAGTGCTTAAATTAGTTCATTAAATATTAATGTTTACTAATGAATGGGCTAATAAAACTTTAAAACGGCTTTAAATTAGTGCATATTGTAAATCCTGTCAATATCCAAATAGTGACATAGGAAATGACAATTATGAAGTGAATATCTTCGTTTATTGGGCTTTAAATGTCATCGACACAAACAAGAGTAGCCGCCAATGGCATTGCATGACCCGTCTTGTTTCAAACATTACCGGCAGAGACCCGGAATATGACCTGGACAACCCGCTGTCTCAGACCCGGACACACGATGTGGCCGCCTCCTTTATAACAATGTTTCCCCCTGTTGTAAATAATATCTTAGTCCTGCCCGGCGTCTGTTGTTATCTTATCTGACGTTCACTCCAACCCCACTCAAGTATCAGGCAGAATTCGATATGAAAATCTATCGATCAGAATTCAATTCTTCATGCAAATACTTGGCATGTATAAATCAATGTTGTGTTGAATCACTGACGCGTGATATCTCTTAGTTGTGCTGCGCCATTCAGCTGACATTGACTCGCCAGTGTTGAAATCCTGCAGTGACCATACACTGACCCTTCTCACACCAGGGGATAGCCTCTACCAGAGCTACTTGGCGGTCATGATAATCTGCTGAAGTTTCAAGTCTAGTAATTTGACTTTTTAACGTCTCTGACAGAATTTTAACTTCATAAAAACCGTAAAGAGAAAATCCTGAACATTGCAATCTTTGACGAATATCAAATACGACAACTAAGACCAACGAGACTCAATGGCGTAGCGAGGGTGGGTGTCACCCGGTGCGGCACTTAATGGTGTCACCCCCCAGAGGCGTAGCGACCCTTCCCGGCGCCCGGGGACAAATTTTCGATTTGCACCCCCCCCCCCCCAAACTTTCGATTTCCAACCCCCACTCCACCCTTGTCGGGATTTGTCAAATTCGCTCTTAAAAGACTTTTTAACACTCGAATTAATCAATTAAGTGGAATTATCACTTTTCTCTATATATTTTGCTATTTTTTGCCTTGGTGTCACCCCCTAAATGGTGTCACCCGGTGCGGTCCGCACCCCCAGCCCCCCCCCCCCCCCCCCGCTACGCCACTGACGAGACTGATGCCACCTGTTTAAGACCAATGAGACATATATCACCTTACTAACAAAAACTGATAAAACAGACGGCAACTAAGACATTGAGACAGATGATATCTATCTAAGACAGCGAGACAGAAGACAGTTATTAAACAACTTAATAACTAAGACCAAACCAGTCTACCCTCAAGGCTATTACTATATTGATTTTTGCACAAACCAATCACGCTAGAAATCAATTACTTCCTGATTTGATGTTTCCATACATCTTTTGATGGTTATTGAGTTGTTGGTAGATCTAGAAAGTTTAGGTTTAAGTCTGACCGTTTAACAGGAAGACAAGGTCAAAGTATATGAAACACGGAAGCTTGATATGTGTCATGGTTTCCCGTGTTCTTATGTTTTTTGGTATTTACATTATTAATTTTGAATACTTTCCTTTTTTACTTTCTCGTATAGATCTATACAAAGTATAGAGAAAGTCTTGTAATCGTACCAAAAAAAAAATCGAGATTTTTGCAAATCTCGACGTTTTACAGCTCCCTGAGTCGAAATAAAATACTTAAAAAAACTTTTTAAAAAACCACGTTTTTCTTGTGGACTAAAAAGTAGAAAATAACTATTTACATACATTTGATGACAAAAAACGTGGGTACGTTCACCATCAAATTTCCCGACCCATCTGCCCGACCCACGTTTTTTGTCATCAAATGTATGTAAATAGTTATTTTCTACTTTTTAGTCCACAAGAAAAACGTGTTTTTTTTTAAAGTTTTTTTAAGTATTTTATTTTCTCCTTTTTAGTCCGTTGCTACACATGAAAAACGTGGTTTTTAAAAAAGTTTTTTATATAGTTTATTTTCTACTTTATCTAATCACTTGATTAAGTATGACTTGACTAAGTGTTTTTAAATACACGGACTAAAAAAATCTTGAGCGACCGATACGCTTTAAACAGAGAAAGGGTGTAATTTACGTTGCTGGCGTGGAGATCTACTCACGAATCACGTGATCAAATCTCCCATAAACAAACAAATAAACGCGAAGCTGAGTTAAGGAAAAACGTGTTTATGTGTATTTTAGCATGCCCAGCGTACCAACCGTGTCACCGTTAACAATGTGTTACCGTGTCCGTTCTCCTTTTTAGTCCGTTGTTACACATAAAAAACGTGGTTTTTAAAAAAGTGTTTATAAATACACGGACTAAAAATCTTGAGCGACCAGGATTCGAACCTGGGTTGTCGCGGCCACAACGCGAAGTACTAACCACTATACGATCACGGCCAGCGCGCTCACATCGATTGGGGCCGAAGTAACTGTGTCAATAGGCCTCAAGTCTTGTCGGTATCTTTAGAAATCATGTCCTCAATTTTATGGTCCTTGGGGCGTAATTAAATTAAGCTAATTACGGTCACTAATTGCTAGTTTTTATGATTGCATCTGAAATTGTTAGGCGAAAGTAGCATGCATGCCAAATTTCAGGTCTCTAGAGCAATCAGAAGTGGGCTAATTTTCGATGTCAATTTTAACAACAAACATCCAAACAAACAAACAAACGCGAAGCTGAGTTAAGAAAAACGTGTTAAAAACAGTTTTACAATCTTGTCCGTGTGTGTGTGTGTGTGTGTGTGTTTATGTGTGTATGTCTGTAAACCCGATAACTTGAGTACCGTTACAGATAGGTTGATGAAATTTCATATATAAGTATTATATAAAAATCGTAGATCCGCATTAACTTTTGAGCGATTTCCGATAACCGGAAGTGGAACTTTTTCGACTTTGAATTTTTCAAAAGCCTATAACTTGAGTCCTATTTAAGATAGATTAATGAAATTTCACATGTAAGTAAAAGATCTAATTCTATGCCTTGTTTCAAATTTTGAGTAATTTCCGTTGACCGGAAGTAGTAATTTTCGCTATTTCCGATTTCTCAAAAAACGCATGTGAATTTATAAAGTACTAATAATATTCCGCACTATTATGCACATTTTATTCGGCGTTCACTTGGTGTGCAATTCATTTTTCTACGAGATTTTATTCTATTTTAAAAAGCTTAAGTATTCAAAATGGATTAAAAATGTATATATCCCGAGTTGCCATCCCCTGTTGTTTCATATAAGAATATTCGAGAAAGTTTAAGGGAGACCACTCCCGGTTTATTATAGCTATGTCATTCTTTAGTATGCCTTATTTAAGTAATACGTAACAGAAGCAATCTTTTTAATTTGTTTAAACAAAACTGTTTAAATGAGCTTTATGGGCACCCCTACGAGACTATTTAAAGAAGAGCAATCTGTCATGGATATTGTTTGAACGTTCGCCTATTTTTCACTCTACAGCTCAAGTAGTTTTTTCCCCTCAGCCATAGCGTTTGTTAGTTACCGTAGAACAATCACTGCTGCAGTAGATCTATTTATGTTTCATAACCCCGATCAAGGTGCGAAAATAATGTATATATTTTGGTCGGATTTTCAGCCCAAAAATGGCCTGCGTCCTTTTCGCCCCTCCCCGGGGTCTGACGGTGTGGTAGTTCCGACACTTGTCTGACTGTGATTCAGGAAGTAAGGTTAAAGTAAAAATCGAATTGTAGAAAGTTACAACTTGTGTACACGATTGCAATCATTGTCAGTGTGTGAGTGTTGATGAAAGATTTACTGTTTTAAAAAACCAAATAATTTCCTGTCTGCAATAGACAGGAAGAGACACGTTTATTGACAAGTTGCGTAACACAGGTTTCCTAGTTAAATAATAATGGACTGTTTGTGTATTGATTTTTAAAGAAAATTCCCCCCCCCCCCCCCACCCACCACCAAAAATGTTTGGTTCTTGTTATTTGTCTATGAAAGGTGACAACGAGTAACCTGTGTACCCATTTAAATTTTAAAGTAGGCAAAATATAGGTAAATAATGTTATCTGTTTTTTGGGAGATGTGATCACGTGGGTTATTTCCCTTGGGTTGTTTTAGTTTTAGCGCCAAACAGTTGAACTTGTCCAGACGGCATTGTGTTCAGGCGGGGCGCTGTGTGTGTTAACAGGTGAGACCCCGAGGGTTTCAAACTTTATTAGCGAAATCTAGGACTGATCAGATATCAAATGGAAGTTTATTGCTGATATGTATCGGGGATCGATACAAGTTTTTAGAATTGTCAATAGCTTTATGTGGGTGTTTATGTGCTTGTAGAGAGTCAGTTTTTGTTCTAGAATTATTGTCACCTGGCAGGTGAGGTGGCCAGGTGGGGTAAATAATGCCCAGTCTGTCACCACATTTCCAGAGACAACGTGCCTGCCTGAAAATGCAATAATTAGAAACATCGGATATCTTTTTGTTGCCGTAACAACATTCTGAGATGCACATGACATTGCTAGTAGTGGATAGAAAGTAATGCGGCTCTTTAATAAATCTGTACTCACTAACGCTGTTTTGTAGCTGCACAATTCACTGTCTAAATCTTGACCCAGTCATAACGTCACTGTTTTGTAGCTGCACAATTCACTGCGCTAAATCTTTACCCATCATAACGTCACTGTTTTGTTCCTGCACAATTCACTGTCTAAATCTTTACCCAGTCATAACTTCACTGTTTTGTAGCTGCACAATTCACTGAGTCTAAATCTTTACCCAGTCATAACTTCACTGTTTTGTAGCTGCACAATTCACTGCGCTAAATCTTTACCCAGTCATAAGGTCACTGTTTTGTAGCTGCACAATTCACTGAGCCTAAATCTTTACCCAGTCATAACGTCACTGTTTTGTAGCTGCACAATTCACTGCGCTAAATCTTTACCCAGTCATAAGGTCACTGTTTTGTAGCTGCACAATTCACTGAGCCTAAATCTTTACCCAGTCATAACGTCACTGTTTTGTAGCTGCACAATTCACTGAGTCTAAATCTTTACCCAGTCATAACGTCACTGTTTTGTAGCTGCACAATTCACTGCGCTAAATCTTTACCCAGTCATAAGGTCACTGTTTTGTATCTGCACAATTCACTGCGCCTAAATCTTTACCCAGTCATAACTTCACTGTTTTGTAGCTGCACAATTCACTGCGCTAAATCTTTACCCAGTCATAACGTCACTGTTTTGTAGCTGCACAATTCACTGCGCTAAATCTTTACCCAGTCATAACGTCACTGTTTTGTAGCTGCACAATTCACTGCGCTAAATCTTTACCCAGTCATAACGTCACTGTTTTGTAGCTGCACAATTCACTGAGTCTAAATCTTTACCAAGTCATAACGTCGCTGTTTGTAGCTGTAAACTTCACTGAGCCTAAATCTTTACCCAGTCATAACTTCACTGTTTGTAGCTGTACAATTCACTGCGCCTAAATCCAGTCAAAACGGTATTTTTGTGTGTAAGGTTCTGGCTGCATGGTCCGATAAACTCTCATCACTACAACACACGGGCTTGTGTTCTCCCTTTCTTTGCACCACACTAACATTTCCCTAGGCCGACAAATCTACGTGTATTTTTTCTCAGACTGTTGGTTAAACATACGGCTCTCTACGTGAATCTCACACCCTCTAGTTTGCGTGATTCATTTTTTTGTGCAGATTAAGGCATCAAATACACCTATTTTAAAAACAATCTTTTTATTAAAGTAGATTAAAACATTAAATTTCCAGGCAAGACGTGTATTCATTCGAGCGTACATAGAATCGTTTGATCCCCCCCCCCTCCTACTCTCCACCACCACCCGATTAGCCACGAGCCTTTATTAGATGGCAAAATTCGATAAATTGATAGTCCAAGCTTATAGCATTAATTGTACTTGAATGAAATGTGTTTGAAAGTGTCTCAATACGATCACACATAAAGAGACCGGCAAAGATCTACTTCAGTACGAGGAGGCCCACTCGAGCCGAGTGCTTTTATAACCGAAAAATGGACTAACCGTAGGCTTCTATGTGATCTGGTAGTGCTGAGTGAAGCACATTTTGATCTCTGGATAGGTCACAATAGAAGAAATTCTTTACGGGAGGGAGCTCATGTGGTTTTTATTTACCACAGCTAATGCTGGACAGAGTTGTCCCTCTTTGTTCTAGAAATCGTTATGGATCCGGTCACTGAGCACCAACGATACATTTTTTTTTACCATAGAAAGGGGAGACTAGTGAGATTAGCAAAAACTATATCTGACTATACATACGATTTGTACTCTTGCATACAAGAACATTGTTAATTAATGTTCGATTATTGCATTGTTTCTACTTCAATATTTTAATATCAAACTACTTCTACATAACCCATCCCCCTACTGATAATCTTGCTCACCTCTCCAAGTCCTTGTCTCTTTCTAATTTACCACTTAACTGTTTACAAAATCTTCAAAACTTAAACCATAGTCTATCATTATCCAACCTAATTTAAACAACAAACTACCACATAATTAAGGACATGATCATAATTAAAAGCATTAAAACTCATTAAAATTAATTAATGTCCCACTGGACAGGTTTGTTGAACTCATTTCCTTTGAATTAGAACTAAAATACATAACATAATCATAAAAGAATAAAATTTCAATATAATTTTTATCTAGCCAATGGAGAAAGGACCAAGGCTTCGTAGACCTCATCACTTGGCCAACATATCAACTGCCCTGAACTTTTTGGAAAAGAAAAAGGTAACTTCACAAATTTGAATACATCAATAAATGGATTTTATTTTTAAATTTTAAAGTCTTTATCTTATTTAAAAAATGTTGTTTTACTGACATATGGGAAGAAGTTACATGTATCCCTGACATATTTCAAACAAATTATAGGTATAACTGACCTATTTGAAACAAATTATGGGTATCACCAACATATTTGAAACAAATTATGGGTATCACTGACAATTGTGAAACAAATTATGGGTATCACCGACATATTTGAAACAAATTATGGGTATCACTGACATATTTGAAACAAATTATGGGTATCACTGACAATTGTGAAACAAATTATGGGTATCACCAACATATTTGAAACAAATTATGGGTATCACTGACAATTGTGAAACAAATTATGGGTATCACCAACATATTTTAAACAAATTATGGGTATCACTGACAATTGTGAAACAAATTATGGGTATCACCAACATATTTGAAACAAGTTATGGGTATCACTGACAATTGTGAAACAAATCTTGTGTTTTACCACTCATGTTTACTTTGCCTGTCAGATCAAGCTTGTGAATATCAACACCTCCAGTATTGCAGATGGCAAGCCTTCAATTGTTCTTGGCCTGGTTTGGACCATTATTTTATACTTCCAGGTATGTTTAAACAATAAAAAATGTGTTGGTATTCAATATTTAATTTTCACTATGCTATAAAACATTATTTAACTTGTGTTTTGAGTCTGTTTTAATGCACTATTCAAGATTGAAGAAACGATCAATGCAGTGCCTGGAGATGGTACCAATAAAAAACCTCAGCTACCAAAACAAAGTTTGTTGGATTGGGCAGAGAATGTCTTAACAAAGTGAGTACATTGATTTAATTTTTACTTTACAATTTACCTGAAACATAGTCAAGATTTTTGTTTTACGAGGTAATGACTAAGACATTATGATAATTGATATTGTGTTACAAAGGTTTTGACATAGATAATTTGTTCCAGAAATTATGGTATCAAAATTAAAGACTTTGGCAACAGTTGGAAAACTGGTATTGCTTTCAATGCCATGATCCACCATATCCGTCCTGATCTTGTGGATATGGACCAGATTAAAAGACAGCAGGCACGCATTAATTTAGAGCATGCATTTTCAACAGCTGAGACTCACCTGGGTATTCCCAGACTTCTGGACCCTGAAGGTGAGCAAAGGCCCTTCTCTTAGCATTCTTCTTCTTCTTCGTTCTTAATTATTAGTGTTGAAGGGGATTGAGATTTATCTGCCAGTGGGTTTGAACTCGAGACTTTATTCGAATTTATCAACCATGAGCTTTTTGCCGACTCGACTACGCCTCCAACACAATTAAGCGTTACGTGTCAACTGGTTATGCGCCATTGAGGCCATTGACTCCGATTTCAGCCTGCTTTTCGTTTTGGATTTGCTTCCATAGCCTTTGTCCAACCAAGAACAAACTACAAGGCAGCAGTTGTTTAATTTTGGAGTTGTCTCTCCTAGAAGAGTGGCTGTCCCCAGCTAACGAGCCTCATCTGCCCGAGGGTTCGAACTCGAGACTTTTCGGTTTAGCAACCATGAACTTTACCGACTCGACCACGCCGACGCTTCTTAGCATTCTATACAGCAGTAATTGTCTAAATTTATTCGATGCTAGAGTTTTTAAATGGTTGAAACTTGATTGATTGTAACCCTGTAGATGTGGATGTAGACAAGCCGGATGAGAAATCTATCATGACATATGTGGCTCAGTTCCTGAAGGCCTATCCTGAAGCTGGCGGCAGTGTACGTTTTTCTAAACCTTTTTTTAAACTACATATAAAAAATTCTTTTGATAAATAAAGAAATAGTAATATGATCGGTTTTTCATTTGTTTTTAAAACAAAAAAGGGAAAAATTGCAGTTCATTGAATTATTTTTGTGTGTGCATGTTTTAAATGAGTATTTAATGACTGAGTGATATTGAATTAATGCAAGAGCTTGTCTGGTTATAGGGAGTCCCAGGTCTGGACATCAACTCTCCTGACAAAGAACTGAAAGCTTTCAGCACATTGATGAGCTGGTTGAATGTGGATGCCAAGGGTGTCCTAGCCACAACCCTCGAACCCGTCCAGGACAGAGAAGCAGAATTCAAGGTAGTGTTTTTAGACAGATTAATAAGAGGGAAACATAAATTGTTGACTTTTGATTTGAAACAATAATATAAACTTGATCTTGTAGGCCTACCTGGAATTCAAAACAGATCTAGATGGAAGAGAGCCGTTATATTTGAAACTTGGAGAGAAAGTTTTATTAGGACAAGCTTTAAAAATAACCAGACCAGATTGGGAAAAACTGGATATAAGTTGGCAGGAAGTGGAAGAAGGCGTAAGATTTTACTTTGTATTTTTGGACTTCTCCACGGATAATTAATCAATAATTAATGCAGTTCTACTTATTCTATGACCAACCATTTGTCAAGACTTAGTTCACTAAATAGTTACTTTTAATTTCTTTTCTGAGTTGCTTTTTATCCCATGAAATTCTTTAGGTAAGACTTTGGCTTCTAAAACTTGATGCCTGCCTTCCTGGCAAGCTGGGGCAACTTGGCCAGTGGCTTTATGAGGCAGAAAAAATGTTAAAGAAAAAAGAAGTTTCAACTGACAATCCTGAAGAGATGGCAGAACAATATGGTGATCTTGCAAAAGAGCACAGGGTATTTTGTAGTTAATTTGAATTGAAATCTAATTGTATTTTCTTACTAGATTTACTAACATCACAAATCAATGATTTAGAGATCCTCAAACAATTGTTGACTGACAATTTAATTTTTTTTTTTAAATTAACTATACAATTGTTAATTGGGATGTTACTAAGATATTGAGCCTCTTTCAGATAATCTATAAAAAATAGCTCTAATCTAAGTTAAAAGCAAACACTTTAAAATAAAAATAGTCAAACACTTAAAAACCCAAGATATTGGCAAACACTTTTTTCCACAGTTAATAGAAATTTAACTTTCACAAATATGATTTGTAAAATTCCAAAATTTAATAGGCCTACTGATAATTTGTTAAAACCATTTTTAATTTTTTGGACAGCTTTTTTTCAAAGATTTGGAGGAATGGAAACAGTTTTTTGCTCAAGTCAAGCGAGCCGGTCGCTACGAAGGCCTGGCCATTCAGGGTGCTCAGCTGGAACACATTGCTAAGCGGCTGGAACATGTATCACTGCACTCAACTGTCAGACAGAACAGACTGGACTACACTCACATGAGGTAAACTTTGGCAGTTATAAGTTGCTAAGACACTTGACTACAGTTTAATCTCCAAATCATCATATCTCTATAGTTTAAGAATATCAGAACAGAATTTCATATAGGCCTACCAACACATATGTATAGAAATCAACTACAAGATGGGGTGGACTCAAAAATTGAGCTTGTGATTTCTAGTTTATCAATAGTTTGACAATAGTATAAAAAAAAACACATGTATTTTGGATTCAGTTTTATATTATTTTTTATTTCAGATACAAATTATTAGCTTTTCTGGGGATAGCTGAGTTCAAGCTAGCAGAATGGACTGGGAGATTTGGACACCAAAACTCTGTTGAAAACATGTTAAAAGAGTTCTCAGATATTGTTGACAAGCAGAAGCTCTTTGAAACCTTTGACAAACTACTGGCAGACAGCAAAAAAGTGTCAGAAATATATAAAATGGGAGGGGCAGGTAAACCATTTAAAAAATCAACTTTTAATTGAATTATTTATTTTAAAAAGAAAAGGCTAAATCATTATAATATTCTAACTAATTTATATTATATAATAGACAAAACAGAAATTTCACAAATGGAGCAGTTTTTGGGAAACATCAGTGGTCAATGGAAAAACATGTCAGTTGAAATCAAAGGTGTGAGGTCAATGTTAGAAGAGGTCATCAAGACCTGGAAGCAGTACACTTCTAGTTTGGACTCACTGACAGTGTGGCTTGCCGAGGCAGAGAAAGTCTTAAATAAAAGCTTGGAAGAAAAGGAGGTAGATACCTTTATAACTTTACTGCTAAGTATTCACTCATTTATAAAACTGATAATTATTAGATGGTGCATGCTCAATAATACTTTGTTATTTATTTCTTTGTTATTTTTCAACAGGACTTTTTTAATGACCTGTCAGAGCAGCATGAAATACACAAACTTTTAAATGACTCTGCCAACTTTCTTATTGAGGGAGCTACCCAGCCTGTCGCTGATGAAATCAAACGAACCATTTTACTCGTCAACCGCCAGTTTACAGAGGTTGTTGAGGGGTTCCATTCTTTCCATCAGAATGAAATTATTGGCAAGGCAAAATCTGAGTATGAAAAGGGTGTTGACAGCTTGGCTGCTTGGTTGACGTCTGCCCTAGAAGTTCTGGGCCGTCCTGTCAGATGTATTCATGCTGAATTAAAAGCCTATCTCTTGGAACTAGATGTATGTGCAGTATACTATTAGATTATAATATTAGAAAATGTATACAATAAATTGCAAAATCATATCAGGCTACTTGGTGTATGTCCAGTATAGCCGTGTAAAATGTAAATAATAAATAGCTAATTTAATCTATGATGAAAATTGGTCTCAGATCTTAAAAGATATAATTATATGATAATTATTTCTTATTAAACTAGAAATGCAGTAATGAAATTCAGGAAGCTGAAAGCAACTTTAAAGTAACAACAAAAACAGCACAATCTCTAGTGAAGGACAGCTCTCAAGATGTTGTCACAGCGATGCTGCAAACATTAAATGAACAGAAAGAGGTAAATTTTCAAGCCAACTGCAGATGAGTTAAGTTAGTTTTTTGACTAGTGATGGGTGTGGCCAACTAATTGTTCTGGTTTGTGACCTGTAGTAAAAAAAGCAAAAAAGCAAAAATGATCAAATGTTTTGTTTTATTATTTCAATTAAATGAAACCATTTTATTGCCATCTAATCCAGGCCATTGTAAAGCTGAAAAAGGAAATTCCAGACAGGATCAAGTACCTGAAGGCTGTGCTGCCAAATGTGGAGTCACTGGAGACTGGCATCACTGACCTGTTCAGGTGGTTGGATGACGGCAAACATTTGCTGGACTCTCACAAATTAGAGGCCACAGCAGAAGACAATGATTCTAGATTAGAGAAACATAAGGTAGGCAAAGAAAATATTTGTTAATCACCTTTTTACCATAAGTTTTTAAGAATTTCTACTTTGTTTAAGTGCTTGTATTTTATAGACCTACACATACAAGTAAAATAGACTTAAAGATACGAAATTCGAGTTGGCTGATATAGATGACATGATCTCAAGCTGAATTGTTCTTATGTATTTGATGAACATCTATCACTCTAAATACTTCCAAAAAATATAACTAAAAATCTCATTAGTAAATTTTACCACCCTTAGGCCTTTTTCACTGAAATAACCTACCAAAAGTCAATTCTTGAGAGCAAAAACAAAGTCTTCCAGAAAATCAGTGGGACCAAAGCCAAACTTGCCAATGTTGACTTCAACCCTGCTGAAGACTTGATAGCGCGAGCCAATGAACAGTTTCAGGTATGTTTTGTTTTGTTTTCCTCAAGTAATCTTTTGAAGCTAGTTTTTTATTTTCACTGACTTGAAGTATTTTTAGTTAAAGGCTGTAAAGGTATAACATATTTTTAATAATCTAATGCTACAAAAAAAGTAAATCAGCTTTTAAATTTAAGCAACACAGAAAAAACCCTGATTTCATTGGTTTCTATCCTAATTAAACTAGAATTCTGTGACAAGTGCCAAAGACTGGGAGCGTAAATTAGAAGCTTTGTCTCGTTTGTGGCGGTCACTCCATCAGAAGCAACAAGAGCTAGAAGATTGGCTTGACACAGCCTCGAACATACTGGATGACAAAGATGATGACCCCGACAACCTGATACGTAAACATAAGGTTCATAAACATTTCTTTAAGTTTAATTCTTCTTACAGACACATGTGGAATTATTATTTCCTATTCTGAAAAAACTAATTATAATGTTAAACACTTGTAAAAACAAAATTTTTAATTGATTAAAAAAGTTTTAGTTCAAGCGCATAAAATATTCAACCAATGTTTTTTAGGCTTTCTTCAACAAACTAGACAAGCGTCTTATGACAGATTATGAAGCTCTTGCTAATGAAATCTTGCATCAACTGAGCCCTCCAGAGCAGAAGCAACTTTCTCAAACCCTAGGTCATCTAAAGGAGAGATGGGAGGTAACTGTTTCATTGCTCTGGCAAATGAGTCCAATGTTAGTCTTGTATATTCATGTATAGCACAACTGAAACCACATTTGTTTCCATGACAGCATGTCCTGCACCATGCACCAATCAAACTGTTGAAACTTGAGTTTGCCCTACCAGAGGACAAGTTTGAACAAGGCATGGAGAAAGCTGAATTGACTCTCAGACAGGCCCAAGACCAGATCAAACGAAATGAGAACATCAAAGATGCACTGGCTAGACACAAAGTTAGTTTTTTGTTTTCAAATAATTATGAATTTTGAAATCTATGAATTGTCATTTTCTTATTCTTATTTTCTTTTTTTTTGTTTAAGATTGCCATAATAATTAGATATTATTCATTTTTATATTACTATTCTCTAATGTTAGGGCGCAAAGTATACAAGCCATTTCTATTTCAGCAAATGTTTGAAGAAGGGAACCTGGTCACCTCTTGTGAGCAATGGCTTGAATCTATGAAAAACATAGCCCAACAACTACTCAAGCTAAGCATTGATGAAAAGTCACTGGACCAGAGACACAGAAACCATTTAGAGAGATGGAAGAAGCTGAGGATGATAGCTGATGACACTTATGTCCAACTAAAGCAGCTACCTGAGAGGTGGAAAGAATATCATCAAAAGTAGGTGGATTAAGAACTTTATAGAATATTTTCACCTTAGATGTGTCCACTTTAGAACATTGACCGTCTTGTGATAACATATAATGAAAAAAATAGTTTATCTGTAATGACTGTTTACCATTATAGAATGAATGATGTGGATGGTTGGGTACAAAATGTGGAGAAACTCATCAAAGGAATGGCACAAGAGAATATTTCAGGAGAGGAGTATAAAGAAATGCTGGCACAGTTTCAGGTATTTATTCTCACCTGCCAGGTTTATTCCTGTCCATCACAATTAAGTAGACTTTAAATGCTCAGTCATTCAAACTATTTAACACAGGAATTCTTAAGAGAAGTTTTAAGAATACTATTGTGATTCTCAACATTTTGATCTATCTTGACTTGATTGAATTTTAACACACTTGTAATTAGAAATATCTGTCCCATGTAGAAGGAGATGAGAAACATGAGCAAGTACCAAGAGGACTCCAAGTGGCTTGACCAGTCCTTGAATGAACTGGTCAAAGATGCACCAGAAGCTGATGCCAAGAGGGAAAGAGAGCGTCTCAAGGGTTTGCTGGATCGGTTCAGGGGAGTGAAACCTCACATGGATACAACTATGGATAAATCCAACATTTTATCCAAGGGCTATGAGTACAGGGATAATGTGGTTAGGAAGTCCAGCTGGTTGGATGAAGCTCAGCGGCTGGCGATGGAACACCCTCACATTGACAGCCTTGATGATGCCAGAGTTTACCTTCAAGAGCATGAGGTATGTGCCTACAGTATCCTGATGTGTACATACATTTTAATGGCCATTGATTTTTTACTGTCCAGATTTGTATAAACATTTTAATGTCTTTGGATTTTTTTATGTCCTGATGTATACAAACATATTCATCATGTCTCTAGATTTGCTTATACTATTTTGAAATATACAAACATTTTAATGTTGCTAGATTTTAAGTTTTCTGATGTGTACAGACAACTAACCCTACAATTTTTCATTAACAGTATCTTCTCAGCAAACTTGAGGCAGAGAAAGCCAATATTCAAGCTGATATTGAAGCAGGAAAACGCCTTCAGAGAGAGAAAAATGCTCCAGCATTCATCCAACAAGCTGTCAGTGAACTGGACAAGAAGTGGAAAGATATCAACGATCTAGCCAAGGCCAAGCATGAAAAACTGAAGGTCATTAGAGCATTGATTAATGAAATTATAGAAATGAAATTGTAATTTGTGAATAGAAAAACATTTGTTAGACACCAACAGCAGCCACATACCTTTGTTTTATCAGAAATCTGAAAACAGCAACATTTTTGTCTTGTCAATCAACAGAAACAAGTAAAAGACTGGGAGGGCTATGAAGGAGAGAAGTCAACACTTCTTACTTATCTGAAGAAAGCTGAAGTAGAGTTGGAAAAACCCATTGATTCTGTCAATCAGGAGAATGCCATAAAAGATTTACAGGCCAAGAAGGTATTTATTTGTCTCTTTCTCTTGTATTCTAGGAATTTATTGTTACTATAACTCACTGCCCATGAAATCATTGTTACTGTACAATGTTATTGTAACTCACTGCCCGTTCATTTCTTACATTGCAGGAACTTCAACAAACATTAAATAAATTAAAAGGAAGTTTGACAGAAATGACGAAGCTAAATGCTCTTGTGGCTGTGGGAGCAAGCCGAGAACGTCAGGCACCACTGAAAGGGGAAGTGACTGACATTGACAAAAGACTGGAGAGTGTGTCTCACCGCCTCAATGCTAAGCTGACAGACCTAGAAGCCACAATTGCCAAGTGGGCTGAATACTACAAGAGGTTAAACAACTTCTGTGATTGGCTGAATGAAAAAGAGAGCAAGTTAAATGAAATTTATGACAACAAACAAGATTCTCCTGATGCTCAGCTACAAAAAGCAGAGGTTTTTAAAGCTTTTCCTTACACTTTGTATTCTTTAAAACTTTTTGTTACATAAGAATAGTGGACAAATATTAAGTTTCTGACTAATTTCTATAATTAATTTTGTTGCTTGAAATTACAGGGCATCTCAAGTCAGGTGTATGAGAACCATGTGACTCTGGAAAACTTAGAGAAAGATGCCAGAGGACTGACACAAAATTTCCGGTCCAGAGAGACAGCAGCCCTTAAGTCTAAGCTGACCAGTGTCAGGAGACAGTGGGAAGCCTTATGCACTAGAGCCAAAGACAGAAGTACAGCTCTGTCAGGCAACGTGCTCCACTGGCAGAAGTACCAAAACTACCTGGAGAAGCTCATGCCATGGATCACCAAAGCTGAGAAGTATTGCGCTACACAACTGCCAAAGTGTGCTTCTGTAGAAGAGGCAAAGGATCTTTATGATATTCATCAGGTAACACATTTTTGAAACTTTTATAAAGAAGAGTCAAATATCTTTTTTACTCTCAAAATAATTCAAGATATCAGAATTGTAAACCAAGTATGCTGACTTATTGATACATTTTTTAAAATGTTAATAAAAGAAAACTCAATTTATTAGAAACTTTTAGAAAATAAATCCTCCAATCACCTTTTATGTTTTCTGTCAGTCATTCTTACAAGAGTGTGAGGAGAATCTTCCACTATTTGAACAAATGTGCACAGAGGCCAGCTACTTAATGGACCAGCCCAATATTCACCAAGATGTGGAGAATATCCAGAAGAGGTGGGGTGGTATCCTGTCCAACTCTGAGGACAGATCTCAGAAAATGGACAAAACATTTTCTGCCTGGACAGCTTACAGCAATGAGCTGGAGAACTTCCAAGAATCCCTGGACAAGATACACGCTCGTCTGGCCAATGATCCTAATGTCAACACATCTGATGTCCAAGTCTTGGAACATGAATTGGCTCTGGCCAAGGTAGGTCTGGACAGATGGTTTAAGCTAAAAAAACGAGTGCACACATTTACAAAAAATATTACTGGACTAAAAAAACAATCATATTAGTTTGTTTTAGTAATCACATTTCAAACCAGTTTAATATAGCCTGGTTTTCAATTTGTTTATGATAGGCACTGCAAGATGAGATACGTAGTTACCAGCCACAACTTAATAATTTGGCTCGCCAGTTTGAAGTTGTTCAGACATACTCCAGCCCAGAAGGTTTAAAAGTTTTGAAATCAAAACAAGATTCCATCAAAAGCAACTGGAAGTAAGTGACATATTCTTTGCAACAATTAATGATAGAAAAAATATTCTTTTTGCCTTGGCATCAATTATCTTTCAGGTAATTCTTGAGACACATAAAACACAGCACCCAAAATCCTTTTTCACTGTGCTTACATAAACATCAACTTTCTGTGTGTTTATGAGTATTGCTTCTTTTCTCCAGAGATATCAATGATGAAGTCACAGAAAGGCAGAAAGTTCTATCTAATGCCTTGCAACATAGGAAAAACTTTTACGGCAGACTTCAAGATTCTGAAAAATGGTTAAAAAAGATGCAGAAAAACCTTGACTCTGGGAATGAAATCTACTCTGATGAAGTTGGAGCAATACAAGCTAAATTAAAGGCAAGCTGGCCCTACTAAATGTTTTTTGTTCTACATTGTATTGTTCAATTTTAGCACACTATCAAATAAAGTTGCTGATTTCCTTATGTTTAATTTTTATTGCAATTTCAGAACTTTAAAGATGAATCCAAATCGCAAGAGAAATTTTTCCAAGATTTGCAGCAAGAGTTTAAAGAACTGGTAGCAGTGTGTAGTGAAGAGGAAGCAGCTGTACTCAGTGAACGTTTCAACAAAATTTTGGAAGGCTACACTCAAGTAGAGGATCTCATTGGCAGCAGACAAGATTTATGTGAAAAATGGGTTGATTACAGTGAGACACAGAAAGAAACTCAAACCAAACTAAAAGCTCTTCAGGTATATTTTGATCTTATTACATTTATAGATAAGAATCTTCTGTTATTAAGAGCTTTGTTATCATAGTGGTGTCTTAAAAATTATTAGTCCCAAGAAATATTAATATTTTCTTTTTGATTACAGGCTCGCCTTGCTTCACCTAATGTAAGTGAAGCAGAAGTTGCTCAAATAAAACGTGAGATAGAGGCATTGCGCAAGTCTTTGAAGCCTTGGAACCAAGAAGCAGACAATCTTGATGACCTGATGTCCACAGCTCAGATGGTCATTAAAGACAGAGCTACCCAGAGAACCTTACACTTTGGGTCAGAGCTGGCAACTTTGGAAAACCTGTGTGACCAGACAGGGGACTCAGCTAAACAAAAGGAAGCTCAGCTTGGTGAAATTAATCAATTAAGTTCAGACTTTGTTCAAAAGAAAGATGATCTTGTTGAAAGTTTGATCAAAATTCAAGAGAAATTAGAATATGCTAAAGCTAAGAAATCGAATCTTCAAGGAGTTAAAGATTTGGTTAAAGAAATAGAGGTGAGTAATTTTTAATTTACAACTTGATGCTAAATTTTTTAATTCCATGGGTAAAAGTGTTAAGATAGGTCTGTAAAAGAACATTTCCTACTGTTTTCTAGAATATCCATGATGGTCACATAATATATTTACATTTCCTGCTGTTTTCTTGACTATCCATGATTGTCAGATATATATTTACATTTCCTGTTTTCTAGACTATTCGTGATGAAATGTATAGTCACAACCCCGAGTATGAACAACTAAGAGAACTTGGAAGACAAATCATGCATAGCGACCCCACTAAAGCTGCAGCCCTTCAGCAACAACTTGGCCAGGTAAATTTTTCATTTTAAAACAAGATCTTTGTGTTGAGTTTATTCATATTTTAACTAGAATACATTTATAAGTATCATCTGGTTTGGTGAATTATAAACAAAATAATAACTTTCTTTCCTTTCAAGTGTCATTATACTAACATTGCAAATTGACATGCTTTATACAGATCAATGCTGCATGGGAAGACATTCAAGCAATGATAGCAGATAAACATCAACGATTCAATGGTGTGGCAAGCATATGGCAACAGTACACTGATGCTAAGCAAGGAGTTATGAAGATTGTTGATGATGTTCAACCTTTGCTACAGCAGGATCTGGCTTTTTCTAAACAAGAAGATGTGAAGAAATCCTTAGACCAACATAAGGTAGGCAACTTTTCATGTCCCAGCTCAGAAAAGATACACATCAGATTGTGTCTTTTAATTAATCTTGCGTTCATGTGAAGTAAAGGCTATGCATATTTAATTTCAAACATATTTTGTCAAATTTTTCCACACTTGTCATGTCTATAGTTTAAATTTTTTTTAATTAAAAAAAAACATTCTTTGTTTTGTTTGTCACAAAAATTGATTTTTTTTTTCAGAACGCTGAATTTGAGCTTCATGCCAACCAGACACACCTAGATCACATGAATAGCAAAGGTGTGCAACTCCTTGAAGATCTCAAGTGCCTTCCCGATTTTGACTTCTCAGGGATGGAAAATGATCTGGATGAAGTCAATCTCAGATGGGAAACAGCCAACTCTGTAAGTTATGCAGACCACAGCTTGTAGCATCTTGTCAGCTTGAGTTATACACTAGAGAAAAATTTAAAAAGACAATCTAACTATTAATTTAAAAAATGTCTGAACTTTTCAATTTGCCAGGTTATTGATGAACACAAAGAGAATTTGGAAGCTCAGCTGATTTGCTGGGACCAGATTCGTTCTGGTGAGGAGGAGGTCAGTGCTTGGGTCAACTCTATGGTCAGTAAACTAGGTGACAGCCTGAACCAGTTTGATGACACTGTTACTGTAGAGGCAAGACTTGCCAAGTTTAAGGTCAGTCTTCTAAATAATCTATAAACCAACATAAGGTTTTATACTTTACCTCATAACATCCTGTGTAGTTAGATACATTTTGTTTCTTTATGTCCTAAAAAGGGAAAAAACCAATTCTAAAAAAAACTGTTTTACTAATTGTTTTAACCTTTTTATGTAAGGGATGTGCCACCTTACTAAAACATTGTTAGTAACAAAGTAACTTCTATCATTTATAAAGGATGAAGCACCTTATTATGAGGAGGTCATGAATGACGTGAAGCAGAAACTTAAAGACTTGCAAGAACTCAACAAAAACAATTCAGTGCCTACCCTTGCTTCAACACAGCAAAACCTTCAACAACAGTTCCAGAAAGCTGCTTCTATGGGTAAATATTCCTGTATTTTTAATATCTGACTAGAATTCCTTTTACATTAACCTAACAGCTTGTGAAAGTTGTTTAAATGCTGTTTTAAAAAAGCTTTTGTTTGCTTGATTGGTATTTGTGTATATTACAGCTAATCAGCTGGAGTCTATCATGACCAACTTCAATGATGAGCAGCAAGGTCTTCAACAAGTGATGACTGACGAGACAGAATGGATGAACCATCTTAAGGAAGCCCTGGCTAAATGTGATGATGTAACTGGAAGCAAAGAGGATTTAATTGGCAGATATGAAAACACCAAGGTAGGTGGTTAGCCTTGGTTAACAGACTGATGCTTTTCAGCTCTGTATTTATTAGAAAATGTGTAGATATACAAACTTTTATTTTTATTTAATAGATATACAATGAGCAGTTATTTTAAAGTGCCATTTGAATCTATTTACAGCATCTTCTTCAAGAGCTGGCATCCCACCAAAGACAAATTGCTTCTATTAAAGACAAAGCTGATAACCTAAACAAAAAGTATTCTTCTTCTGAGACTTCTAGTCTTGCTAAAGATGGCGCTGTTGTTTCAAAGAAGTACGAGTCCCTCATGCAGCGGGCAGAGAGGGTACAGGACTCATTGATAGCCCAGCTGGAGCAGCAGTGCACAGAGGCCCAGCAGCAGCAGCAGAGGTGGCTTAACACAGCCAAGGAAAAAGTTGGCTGGTGTGGGGACATAGCTGGGGACCGCTACAGTGTGGAAGCCAAACTGGCAACTATTCAGGTTCATTATAACAATTTTACTTTAAAAAATACAATAGTCAGAAAATATTTGAAGATATTTATAAAGTTCTTTTATAACAGGAAATGAAGGCAAGTCTGAAGGAAGGAGAGGAAAAGAGACAAGAAGCTATTAATAGATTTGATGCAATAAAGGGAGTCTTACCAAAAGCCAAACAAGCAGAACTTGAGGAAAACAGAAAACTGATGGAGAAATCCTGGCAAAACTTGATTCAGTCTATTAATCAGACAGAGTTAGTCAAATTTGATTTGCATTTTAAAATTACACCATGAGTTTTACTTTGTGATAATGTTGAAGGCCTACATTTTTAACACTGCTCTAATTATTTATTTTGGTCTATAGATCTAAGCTTGAAAATTCCATGGACCAGTGGCAGCAATATGACCAGCGATATGAGACATTGTCTCAATGGTTGAAAGACACTGAAGCGTCCATCAGAACTGATTCAGCTCTGCAACCTGACATACATAGTAAAAAAGAACAACTGGAACAGTTAAAAGTACATTGCAATTTTTAAAAAGCTTTTAAATAGTTAAAATTCACAAATCTCTCATGTTCTTCAAATTTGTAGTTACCTTAATAGCTGGGTAAAACAAACAGAACACAATTTTTGTTTTAGAAATGTCCGTAAATGGATGTACATTAAGGATAAAAAATTATGTTAATAAATCAAATTAAACTGCTAGCTTTACTTTACTGCTAGTCTTGTAAAAGTTTTAAAAATTCTTTCAGCATTCTAATAACTTTCAAATATTTCACTGACAGGCCCTCGAGCAGACAATTTTGTCACACAAAAAAGAATTTGAGAACATGCGTGACTCAGCTCAACAAATTAGCCAAGTTAGTGGAGACAGCCGCACACTATCGTATGCTGGTCAGTTGGCCAGTCGTTACCAGTCACTGGCCTCTGCAGTCAAGGTATGTTACACTCACTCACGCTTTATTTCCCTTTAATACATAGCTTATCATTAATATCAAATAAACATATAGTTATTGTTTTCTTTTAATTGAACTGTATAGTACACATATGTTTCTGAGTTGCACATATGAAATCCTTTACATTTAAAATATATGTCATTAAAACATGAATTTCTTGCGTTTAGTCATTGTTTCTATACTTTGTGACAGGAACAACTAGCACAGAGTAAACAAAACATAGATGACCATCAGCGCTATGGTACCAGTCACAAGGCGGCACTGGACTGGTTGAAGACAGCACAACAGGAACTTGACCAGTGCTCTGAGATGGTCAGAGATGAGGACTCACTGGACATTAAACTCTCAATACTTCAAGTAAGTTCTAAAATCATTTTCAAATCACGTTACTGAAATGGTTTTGATTTGAACATAAAATAAGAAAATAGTATAAATAAAAGAAGTTTATTTAGTCAACAATGCTAACTACAGTAATACTGTACCTAACTGGGAATAAAATATTTTTTATTTAAAGGATTAAGGTAATATCAACATTTTGTTTAGAAACTTATATCATAAATATTTCCAGCTTATGAATAAAGTTGATTTGAACATTTTGTTTAGAAACTCATTGCTAAAAAAGATGAAGGTGCTGCTCACTTTAACTCAGCAATTGAAGCTGGGGAGAAACTTTACCCCAACACGTCCAATGATGGCAGGGAGAACATTCGCAGGGAGTTGCGCAGCCTGAGAGAGGCCTATGAGACTTTTAATGACAGTCTTAGTGAAACACAACGCCAGCTAGACAGCAGCCGAATGCAGTGGCAATCATTTGATGAAAACTTTGAACAGCTGAACAAGTGGGTGCTGGATGTGGAGGCACAGATTGAGCCTGACCCAGAACTTAAGTCTAGTTTACAGGAGAAGAAGGCCCTACTTCAGCATTACAAGGTCAGCATTTGCAAATATCTTGGCTCTCAGATGGTTTAGTTGTCTTTTACATATTAAGATTTTACACTTGCTGTACTTTGGAAATAAAATTTTGATGACATGAAATGTTTAGTAAAATAGATAATAATATAAATGTTGATCAATCTGTTGGTCTAGGTACTAAAATTTCAAATTGAGTAGTCAATATAAAAATGTTAAAATTTAAATCACTTATTGCAATGCAGTCAGTAGAAAAATGTTTAAATATAATTCTCTTATTACTCAGTCAAAATTTAGTATATATCACTTGTTGCAATTACAGACTCGCTTTCAAGACATACTATCCCACCAATCTATGATTGATAATATCAGTGATAAAGGGACAGCACTCTCATCTTCTCAAGTCAAAAACAAACTTAAACAGCTGACAAACAAATACCAAACACTGTGTAAAGCAGCAGAGGCAAGTATCACACATTTTTATTTAAATAGGCTATACTATTTTAATAAGTAGCATGATTAATTATGTGCTTAAGATGAAGATTAACTATGTATGTTGTCCATAGAGCTGTGCAGAGAAAGCTGAGGACTATGTGGAGGAACACCAGCAGTACCAAGACTTGTACCAGCAGTGTCGTGACTGGATGAATGCCACCAGAGATAAAGTAGCTGTATGTGCTGAAATTGGGGGAGACAAGCAAGCTCTGCAGAATAGATTAGACAGACTACAGGTTCTTGTTATTATTCTATAACTGACATTTAAAAAAAAAATATTGTTGATTTTTTTTTAGTATTATTTTATTTGACACTAAATCACAAAACAATATTTAAAAACCTTAAAGTAATATTGATTTAAAACTTCTTTCTTTACCATAGGAAATAGTTTCTAGCCTGAAGGAAGGAGAATCTAAAGTAAAATCCGCCCATCAACTAGGACAAAAAACTATCCCCCACACATCAACAGCTGGTCAAGCCAACATCAAAAGAGAGCTAGAGTCACTGCATTCTGACTGGGATGGGCTGGTCAGCCACATTGACAGTGCTGAACAAGAACTTGTCCAGGCTATCAAAGGTACACACTCATCCCTTAAACATTTGAAACTTGCTCTCTTGATGATAGGTTTATGATAATTATTTAATGCATTGCCCTATTTCCTCTCTGATAGCTTTGGAGATTTATGATGGGTCATGTGATTTGTTAAATCGTTGGCTGAAAGATACTGAGTCACAGTTTAAAAATACTGAGCTCAAATCAACTTTACAAGAGAAAACAAAGCAAGTAGAAACATTTAAGGTGAGATGAAAAAATAATTGTAATTTTTCAGCCAATTATAATTAAAGTTTGTAAACTTTATTGTTGGCAAATGAAAAACTACTGATTAACTTTATTTTCCAAAACTAAAAATGCCATTTTAAAATGTATAATGTCTATTATTGAAATAAGAATTTACTCTGCAACTTTTCAGAATTTACAAAGAGAAATAAATTCCAAGCAAGATCAGTTCACCAATCTACAAACCATGTCAGCTCAAGTGCAGACAACTGATTCCAGATTGGCCAGCTACAGCAATCAGTTGGGAACAAAATATCAGACACTTAAAAACCTGGCTAAGGTTGGTGAATTGGTTCAAGTTTTATAAATATATTGAAAAATATAGATACAAAAATTATTGTAATTAATGTAAATATTTTAAAAAAAATAGATTAAAAAAATTATTGTAATTAATGTAAAAACTGTTTAAAATTTTTTTTTAAAGGATGTGATTGTAAAATGGGAGGATTATGTGGAAGAACATCAGGCTTTCCAAGATAGCCATGCCCAGTGCATGGAGTGGGTGGACACTTTAAGGAAGCGACTGCAAGTTTGTGCAGATCTTGCTGGAGATAAACAAGATGTAGAGGACCGCATGCAAAAATTACAAGTAGGTCAAGCATTACTGCTAAACTTTAGATGACTTTTCATCTCATGGTTTTTGTGACTATAGTGTTCACTGAAAGCTTTTGTTTTGGTGGTTTCACTAAGTCTAAGTTTTAAGTTTTAACTTTTTTTAATTACGGTTAATCAGTGATATTTTTTAAAGGTCTTTTTCTTTAATAAATGTAGGAACTGTCTGCTGAAAAAGATGAAGGAGCCAATCATATCCACCAGACAACAGAAAGTGGTGAACGTCTCTACCCCAGCACGTCATCTCAAGGCAGGGACATTGTAAGACAGGACATCAGGTATACTTTCTCTAACTTTTATATCTGATGTTAGGAAAACATGGAGCCTTCCCATCTTATACCTGTTTAAAAGTACAAAGTCTTGAGTTGTTTTTTATAATAACATAATGTGTAAAGAAACAGCTTATTTTTTTTTTCTTAATAAAAAATGGAAAATGTGTATAAGCTATTTAAAATCACAGACTAGTTTTCTTTTAAATATTGTTTAGGTAATACTAAAATAGTACTTTCTAAATTGAACAATTTTAATATATTTGTACAGAAACCTCAGGGACAACTGGGAAGCTTTGAGGGATGAGATTTGTGATGTCCAGCGCAAGTTGGACATTAATCTCAACCAGTGGTCATCCTATGATGAAAACTTTGAAGTCTTCCAAAAGTGGCTTCTAGATATGGAAGTTAAACTAAAGGAAGATTCTGAGTTGAAGTCTTCACTGCCAGAGAAGAAAGCTCAACTACAAAACCACAAGGTACAGTTTGGGTTGCCCCTCTTGATTTTTAAATCACACTTTTTTAAAACTCAACTCATTCATTAGTATCAGTGGTATTTTGGGTCTTTGTTAAAACTGCAATAAAATGATGTTGCTGTGTTGGGTTATTATGAATTTCTATCAAGTAGGAGTAACTATGTTTCATGGAACAAAAAAATGAGAACTGCTATTTACCTAATGAGCTAGTATTGTTTGTCTTCAAACAGAGCTTTCTTAGCTTGTTCTTCTCATGATCCTTCTTTACACATTTAGGTTACATTATATTTTAGAATTTGAAAATATTTTTATTTTACTGTCTGCTAAACTAATTAACAATTCATTCTTCTAAAACTGGCAGGTGCTACATCAAGATATTGTCTCCAGAGAACATATCATTGAAAACTTGACAGAAAAAGCTCAGGCACTTACACAGTCCACTCCTTCTGCTAAAGTAAGTTGTTGTTTTACACTTGTGTAAATACAAATGGGTTTCCATATTGTCCAATGTATTCATTCAAAAACTTCAAATTGATTTGCTTGACAGGTAAAAAAATTTGTTGGAGAACTGAAGCGCAAGTATGACACCATCTGTTCAACATCCAAGGCTATTTTGGACAAGCTGGATCACTCCATGCAGGACCACCAACAGTACCAAGATGCAGCCCAAGATTTCACAGAGTGGCTCAACTCAGCCCAGGAGAGACTTGCCGCTTGTTTTGACAGATCTGGTGACAAACTCTCCCTACAAGCCAAAAAGGAGAGGCTCAAGGTACATCACTGATAATTTAGGCATCATAATTTATTTAAAACTCTAAATTATTTTACAAAGAATGTTATTTTCTTTTGTAGGAATTTTCATTGAATATCAAAGAGGGCCAGAAAAAGCTCCAGAGCACAGAAGAAATGGGAGCCCTAACAGCAAGGAACACATCGCCCCAAGGCAAGGACGTGCTACACCGTGAGCTGGAGCACATGAAGAGAGAGTGGAATGACTACCTTAACCTTATGAATCAGGCAGAAACTTCCCTGGACCAAACTATGGGCATGTGGGGGGAGTTTGAATCCAAGTTTGAAGAGTTTGCTCATTGGCTAAAGAACATGGAGCAGAAAGTCAAAGGACATGACCTTAAAAATACATTAAAGGAAAAACAGAATCAAGTAGATGTATTTAAGGTGAGAAATCAGTACAAAGTTTATGATAGTATTGTTGGATAATAAAAAAAAATCTTTTATAATTCTTTAGTTAGCTTGCTGCTAAATGTTTGACTTTAGAAAGTAACAGTGAGCAAAATTATTTATTACTTTGAATTTCACTTGTTAATACATATATAATTTTTAGCTAGTATTAATGTTTACTTTAATTAATTGAATGAAATATTGATTTATTCTGTCACCAAGAAACAAAGAGAAGAAATCATCAGCCACCAAACAGAAATTGACAAGTTCACTGACGATGCCCAGAACCTTATGCACACAAGTTCAGATGTTCGTCTGAGCACACAGGTGTCTCAGCTGACCAACAAGTACCAGGGCTTGCTGTCACTGGTCAAGGTACGAACTGGGTGTTCACACTAGTGCAACAGGTTGTACTTAGAAGGCTACTCCAGATAGCTATGTTATACTTGCAGTTAACATAATCATTTTCACCAAGGATCTGATACTCCTTATAGTTATGTTTGTCAGACTTGCCACTAAAAAAATTATTTTCACCTAGGATCTGATCACAAAGTGGGAGAAGTACGTTCAGGATCACCAGATGTATGACAACCGTATGGAAGAATTCAAGAAGTGGCTGGTCCAAGCCAACCATAAACTTGGTCAGTGCTCACAGCCGGTCAAGGACCAGGGAGCATTGGAGGAGAAGAGAGCCTTAATACAGGTGGGCCTAGACCTTTTGACATAGAGAGCCTTCACACAAGTGGGCACATCTTTTAGCAATCTTTCTTGTTACTAAACAATATTGCTTGTCAACTTAGTGGTTTTCTTTTCATTAGATGCTGTTCACAGAAAAAGAGCATGGTCACCAGAAGCTCATGTCCACACTTGAAGCAGGTGAAAAACTGTATCCTGATACAGGTGCTAATGGGCGGGACAGAATCAGATCAGACCTACGGACAGTGAAGCAGGATTGGGAAAATCTTTTATCTGGACTCAGTGATGCCCAGCGCCACCTGGATTCTTACCTCCATCAGTGGTCAACTTATACAGATGGACAGGATCAGATGCTACGCTGGATGGCTGAAACAGAAACAGCTCTGAGAGCAGATAAGGATTTGAAGAACAACTTACAAGAAAAGAGGCAACAACTGCAAGCTCAAAGAGTAAAGGCTTTACACAATCAATAATAGATTTCTAAAAAATCATGTCTCTGAAATATTTTTGTTTAAACTTTGTGCAGTAGGCTCGAAAAGTTTTTTTTTAAAAAATCAACGTCATCTGTGCTTTAAAATAAGTTTTAAAAAGCTCTATTATAGTTTCTTTAAGTTTTTTTAACTTTTGTATTAAGTCTTATTATATCTTTTTATGTTTAAGCCAAAAAAAAAATAACCATCTAAAATATTTTATATGCCTAAAATAAACGCACGTCAATGTTTGTTAGGGCTTACTTCAAGACATCACTTCCCACCAAAGGCTGGTAGACTCTGTGATTGAGAAAGCTCAGGGTGTTTTGAAGAGCACATCCAACTCAGAGGTGTCAGACTTCATCTCTGATGTCACTTCAAGATATGAAAAACTTCACACTGAAGCCAAGGTAGGCAAATATGGGGCTAAATTCTTTCATTGTAGGCCTAAAATTCAATGAACTATATACTTAACATTGGAAGCTGAAATTGCTGAAGTGAGTTGATGCAATGTTAACACTTTTTTTAGCACCAGATTGAAAGATCTGAGCAACATGTACAGCTACATCAACAATACCAAGAAGGCATGCAAGCTGCTGTGGACTGGATGACCCTCATGAAAGACAGGCTGACCCTGTGTTCTGACACCAGTGGAGACAGACACACCATCCAGGGCAAGCTTGACCGCCTGCATGTAAGTTAGTGGCTGTGTTGGTTCTTTTAAAGAAATTATTGTTCCATATCGTGTTGAGATCTCTTAAAGTTTTTTAATGAATCAATGGGTGATAAACAAATAAGTCCTTTTGTTTGTGATTTCTAGGAACTTTTAGGCTGCTTATCAGAAGGTGCAGGTAAAATAAAGGAGTGTGAAAACTATGCTCAAGGTACAATGGATACAACTGGACTCAAGGGTTGCCAAGCTATCCAATCAGAACTTGATGTTTTACACACCAACTGGGAGGACTACTGCAACAAGCTCAACTCTCTGAAAGAGAGCCTTGAGCAAGCCTTGCATTACTGGAGTCTATACGACTCAAGCCATCAGCAGCTGACTGCATGGCTCAAAACTAATGAGAAGCAGATCAAAGAGTGTCCCCTTGTGTGTACCTTGGATGAGAAAAGAGAACAGCTGGCCAAGTACCAGGTATTTAGAAAATATTGTGGCTCTAATTTCTCAAATAGTTAATCAGACACTGTTAATCAGTTTTTTAATCCAATTCTAAACAATAATTTCTTTTTAATCTAGCTGCAAGAAGAAATTCTCAGTGAATTTCAGTCTTCTATAGATGGTAACTTGGCTGTAAGAACATTTTATGATTGGCATCTTGGTTACAAGGCAGTCATTCACATTTGCATGATGCTTTATAAATTTTGGTATTAAGATAACAGTCTTGTTTATATGCTTGGGGTTTCAACATTAAAAACAGTTTTTATAAAGAGCTATTAATTCACAGCTAATAGATAAAACTTCTGTGATTGGCTGTTATTTGAGATTGTCACAAAGAAAAAAAAAATGCCATTGACACATTTTATTTAAAAATCTTTTAGCATGGCTTTTTGTACAAATTCTGTTCCATTTGGTTTTGGCCTTTTTTTGGCCATGTCCATTCATCAAATTTATCAGATAGTAATTAACTAATGCATTGTATCACACTTAATCATTAAAGATAAGAAATGTTATAATTTTCCTTAGTCATTAATTAGGATGTCTTTTACAAGCTAATAGTGGTCTTATAAAAATCTCCATTTGTTGTGGTTTAATTCTTTACCTAATACAGATCAGTCTATCTAAGATTTATTAATAGTTTATCAATTAAGAAAATTTCTATGGTAGTCTGACAATAGTTTTGCATGATGGGATAAAACCTTGCATTCTAGGTTGGATATATAATCAATAACAACAATAAAATATTAAACAATTAATGACAGAATAATAGATTAATCTAGTCAATAACAAAATAATTATGGAAAAATATATCCAAGCATGATGATGTTCAGCTTCAGAACTTTGATATATTTACCTCAGTTGTTAAGAATGAGAATGCATGTGGCTCTACAGGAACTATGGCATGAGATAAAGAACCAGCAGAGAGATGTGGACAAATTCACAGATGAAGCCCAGACTCTCCAGCACCTGACATCAGAGTCACGGGTGGGAAACTTTGCTTCACAGCTAGCCACAAGATACCAGTCACTGCTCACTTCTGCCAAGGTAAGCTTTTTTTTAAAAATCCATTCAGTTCATCTTATTGTTTAACCAGATCAGCAATGTTCAATTTTCTAAATCCTGATGTCTGTTTTGTGATCTCAGGATCTGATAAGAAAATGTGAACAAAATGTGGAGGATCATGAGGCCTATAAGACTAAGTATGCTGAAAGTTCATATTGGCTTGAGAAAGCTAAGAAAAAGTTTGCTGAATGCACAGAATCTGGAGGTTCAAGGGCTGAGTTAGAAGAGAGGCTTGAAAAAGTTCAGGTTAGTTCACATGATTTTTGTTGTGTTGGCAGCTGAAATTATAAGAGTGACTATTGATGTTGCAGCTGAGATTATAAGGGTGACTAATGATTTAAACAGCTGAGATTATAAGCTTGACTAATGATGTTGGTAGTGGTTCTAGTATCAGCTGAGATTTCAATGGTGATTAAAGTGGTTTAGTTTTTGTTTCGATATAAGTGAACTTTAAAAAATGCCTTTTTTTAATTAACAGTGAAAGTTTTTTTTCTACAGGAACTTGTTCATGACAGAGATGCAGGATTGGCTAAACTGAACCAAAGTGTTGAGTCGGGAGAGAGACTGTATCCTGCCACTGCACCAGACGGCCGTGAGGCTATTCGTCAAGACCTGCACAAGCTTAAGCTGGGATATGAAAACATGTTTGATGAGTTGTCTGCCCTTCAGAGGAAACTTGAAGTGTCCCTGGTCCAGTGGACATCATTTGATGAAAGTTATGGCCAGGTAAACACTAGCTCAACAAATCTTTTACACTCAGTGTCCCTGGTCCAGTGGACATCATTTGATGAAAGTTATGGCCAGGTAAACACTAGCTCAACAAATCTTTTACACTCAGTGTCCCTGGTCCAGTGGACATCATTTGATGAAAGTTATGGCCAGGTAAACATTAGCTCAACAAATCTTTTACACTCAGTGTCCCTGGTCCAGTGGACATCATTTGATGAAAGTTATGGCCAGGTAAACATTAGCTCAACAAATCTTTTACACTCAGTGTCCCTGGTCCAGTGGACATCATTTGATGAAAGTTATGGCCAGGTAAACACTAGCTCAACAAATCTTTTACACTCAAAGTGTCCCTAGTCCAATGGACATAATTTGATGAAAGTTATGGCCAGGTAAATATTAGCTCAACAAATCTTTTACACTCAAAGTGTCCCTGGTCCAATGGACATCATTTGATGAAAGTTATGGCCAGGTAAACATTAGCTCAACAAATCTTTTACACTCAGTGTCCCTGGTCCAGTGGACATCATTTGATGAAAGTTATGGCCAGGTAAACATTAGCTCAACAAATCTTTTACACTCATAGTGTTTCTGGTCCAGTGGACATCATTTGATGAAAGTTATGGCCAGGTAAACACTAGCTCAACAAATCTTTTACACTCAGTGTCCCTGGTCCAATGGACATAGTTTGATGAAAGTTATGGCCAGGTAAACATTAGCTCAACAAATCTTTTACACTCAGTGTCCCTGGTCCAGTGGACATCATTTGATGAAAGTTATGGCCAGGTAAACATTAGCTCAACAAATCTTTTACACTCATAGTGTTTCTGGTCCAGTGGACATCATTTGATGAAAGTTATGGCCAGGTAAACACTAGCTCAACAAATCTTTTACACTCAGTGTCCCTGGTCCAATGGACATAGTTTGATGAAAGTTATGGCCAGGTAAACATTAGCTCAACAAATCTTTTACACTCAGTGTCCCTGGTCCAGTGGACATCATTTGATGAAAGTTATGGCCAGGTAAACATTAGCTCAACAAATCTTTTACACTCAAAGTGTCCCTGGTCCAATGGACATCATTTGATGAAAGTTATGGCCAGGTAAACATTAGCTCAACAAATCTTTTACACTCATAGTGTTTCTGGTCCAGTGGACATCATTTGATGAAAGTTATGGCCAGGTAAACACTAGCTCAACAAATCTTTTACACTCAGTGTCCCTGGTCCAATGGACATAGTTTGATGAAAGTTATGGCCAGGTAAACATTAGCTCAACAAATCTTTTACACTCAGTGTCCCTGGTCCAGTGGACATCATTTGATGAAAGTTATGGCCAGGTAAACATTAGCTCAACAAATCTTTTACACTCAAAGTGTCCCTGGTCCAATGGACATAGTTTGATGAAAGCTTTGGCCATGTAACATTTAAATGTTATTACATTTTTGTTACTTCTGTAGATAAAGTCTTTATTTATGTAAAAATCAATAGGTGGAACACTGGCTGAAACATATGGAATCTCAGCTAGAGGGACAAACACCACTGAAATCAACTTTAGAGGAGAAAAAGTCACAGCTGCATAACTATAAGGTAAGTATTTTCAATGTCGAACAAGCACTAAAGTTCCAGTAAGTTTTAAATAACAGCACACACTGTCTCTTACTAGGCCCTCCAACAAGACGTCACGTCCTACCAGAGGGTTATTGAGAGCATCAGTGAGAAAGCTTCTAGCCTTGTCCAGACCAACAGTGACCGGGAGCTGTCCAAATTTATTTCACAGACAGGAACTCGTTACAAGAAACTCTGTGCCTGTGCCAAGGTATAAACCAGCTTTTTTTGGACCAGCTTTTTAAATAGAAGTCAAGGAATGGAACATTTTTGTTACAGTTTCTTTTTATTACTTTATATATATGATAAATTGTGTTTCCACCACTCTTTACTTGAGCTAAAATTTTAATTTCTACAGGAGAGAGTTAGCCTGTATGAGGATTATGTCAGTGAACATCAACAATACAGTGATATGTACAATGCATGTGTTGACTGGTTGAACGCCATTCGTGAAAAGTTGTCTTCATGCTCGGATGTTTCAGGAGATAGGAATGCTATCCAGAGTCGGCTTGACAAAATACAGGTAATGTTAATTGGATATATTTGTGTGGCATCATTATGTCGACTGTACGTAATAAGTATAGTAATGTTGTTATAGTACAAAACTGATATGAATTGCATGAATACTTGGTATAACAGAATAGTTGAACTTTGTGATGTTAGGATATTTCTTCTGCATTAATGTTAGTTTATATTGTAGTCCAACACACAATAACATTTAAAACAAAGTAATCTAGCAGCTTTTTTCCTCCTACTATCTTGCACACTGTATCACTTAGTCACCACTCTCATATTTCTGTCTGCCATAAACATCTGAAAACTTACGTATTATTTACCAATCAAATCTGTTTGATGAAACTTAAGCCAATGAAATTCTATTACTATTTTTTTTTAATTTAATTTATATTTCATACAGAAACATTGTGTAAGTGTATTTTATTTGTAGAGAATCTTCTTGTGACTTATAGCATTGTTGAAATACACCAAGTAGAGTCAGACACATTTTTATAGATTGGTTCCTGTTATCTTTTTGATTAGAATTTTCTAGTTTTGTAGCTAATTTGTGCTCTTAAAAAAAAATATTAGTGAGTGGAGATTTTAACAGCTGTTTTTTTAAACCAATACTTAAATGAAATCTAAAAAATTTCTCCCTATGAAATAATTTAAAAATAATTATAATTGAGTTCTACTGATAGTGCCTCATTTTTTGAAAGTACATTAAATAGTTACTTACTGTTATTAATTAGAATTAGTTTTCACAATAATAGTTTTAAATGCCTTCTGCAGTTTTTGACATAGCTTAGGGTGTGAAAGCATTTTGCCAGATAGTTTTCAGCGGTAGCCTTTTAAATAGCTTTTTTGTGTTGCCAGCTAGTTACTTTTTATAAAAAGTTTTTAAAAGATGTTACTCTGTTCTTGAGCATGTAATAGCTGCACAAGTTTTTAAAATATTTTTATGTTATAGACTGCTTAATCATGAATAGTGTCCTTCAATCACCTTTATATTTATCCGTTATATTCTAATTAGCATGGGTAGTTTTCCATCACTCCATTTTTTGTACTTGCTTCATACATGTGGATTTAATACTAGCCAGACAAAGTGTAATCCAAAGCAGGTTACTGGTAGCTGCATAATATTTCAAATCTCTTTTCTTAAACATCAGTTTCCAATACAACAAGGTCTAATATATTTATCAAACTAAATGAATGTACTCTCTGTTTTATCAGAGCCCCCTAAACACATCAGATAGATTATTTTCAAATGTGCAAGTGAGTATTTTATCAAAGGAAAATTTACTGATTTCATCTATAAACAGCTGATGATGGTGCTATAAACAAACTGTTTCACTTCATAAATAATAGATTCACATTTAGGATTCTATTTAATAAAACCCACTAAACAGGGGTCTCTTAGCAAATTTCATTAACCATATAATAAACTTAATTTAGAAATTTGGAACAAAAATGATTTGATAAAAAGACTATTTTAAAACAAAACAATTAATTAGATTACACAAATAACTTTTTCATCAAATGGGTTTTCAAAGAAATTTTGAGACCACAGCTGGTACAGGAACATGTCTGCTAGTATTTAAGCACCTTAATTTGGATAGTCAGCATTCTATTTGTTTGAGGCCCCTGTTTTCATGCTTTGAGTTGATGCTTTTTTATTGCACTAAACACAATTACAGATTCTAATGCAGTAGAATACATCATAGGGCTACAGTGTAATTTTTTTTATTACACCTTTTGAAACTATCAATATTATGTAGGTCTACCATGAATTACTTTAAAATTCAGTTAAATAATAAGACGTAGCTGTTTGTATCTAAAGCCAACTTTTAAACACATTATTTTTCTCCATTTTATATTCTCATTTTATATATAGCAATAGCATAAATCTATGCTAAAACTATAATTATTAGTGTTTTAAAACCATTTTCTTTTTGAATGTGTACTAGCCTAATTTTTGTTATCACTTTATTTACAACTGTGTGGTTTTATCTCACTTTATTACCTTGAACTGTATTACAAAATTGAAATTCATCAGTCTTAGATATTTTTTTGGTCAGTTGTTTACATAAAGTTTTGAAATTCATGCATTATTACTCTCAGGTTACAAAAAGGTAGCATAAAAAGTATTTTAACTTTGTCATTTGTTTTATAAAGGTTATCCTGATTGCTGAATATTATTACCCCAATTGTTGTTATAAATGCATTTTTATTGTTACATGCAAAATTAATGTTAAGTATTTTAAATTAGAATAAATTTTAAGTGAAAATGTTATCAGATTTACACTTCAGTTAAGCTTCACTTAATAGATTAGCAAAAGCAATTGTGACCTTGAAATCCTGATCAATATGTTGCATTGATGCAGGATATTCTGACAACAAAGATGGAAGGCGAACCTAAGGTTAAGGAAGTGATTGAGTTGGCTGATCAGGTCCTCCCACACACTGCAGCACAAGGTAGGGAGGTCATCACAAGAGACACAGAGGCACTAAAGGCTGAATGGGAGGCTTTTATCAAAGCTATGGCTAAGGTGATTTGTTTATTCTCACATCTTTTGATTTCTTCACCTAGCTAATGTCCATGTATCTGTACTGATCATTTTCTCTCCCCACAGACAAAGAAGGATCTTGAAGCTTGTATGAGTCAATGGAAAGGTTTTGAAAACTATTATGAATCTTGCTCCACATGGCTAAAAGATCTAGAAACTCGGCTCAGAGACATTGATCTGAAGGCAACACTCCCGGAGAAGCAAAACCAGCTGGAGAGGCTGAAGGTAGAACACAGTATCATATGTTAATTTTGATGAATTAACATAGAATCATCAATATCACTTTACTGTCATCATTGTTCATTCCAGGCACTGCAAGGGGAGGTAGCAAGTCACCAAAGAGATTTAGATTCCTTAAGTGATGCTGCCCAAGATCTGGTTAGACTCAGTGCAGATTCTCGAGTCATAAGTCAGGCATCTCAGTTGACAACAAAGCACCAGACAGCCCAAATCAATATTAAGGTAAAGATTTTTAAATATTTGTCTGACATTTGTTGTGATTCAAGTGTTATATCTGTTGGTATAAACTTGCCAGGAGCCCAAATCAATATTAAGGTAAAGAAATCACCCTCCCTGGTTTTTAAATATTTGTCTGACATTTGTTGTGATTCAAGTGTTATATCTGTTGGTATAAACTTGCCAGGAGCTGTGTCGTAGGTGGGAGCAGTATGTGCAAGATCACAAGGCCTACATTCAACTCTTTGACCAGTGCCGAACATGGGTGACTCAGATGAAGAAAAAAGTCTCTAATGTTGTAGACACCAGTGGTGATAAAAGAACAGTTCAAGACAGGCTAGGCTTAGTACAGGTAATCATGAGCTCCTGTTTCTTGGTTTAGTACTTTTATTTAATTGATGTTTTGCTGCAAAAGTTAAGCAGGATTGTTTACTTGTACAGTTTTGCCCCTAATTTTAAAATTTGTACACTCAGGCTACAGCATTATGATTAAGCCGATGTGATTATGCTTTTGCTTCTGTAAAAATTTTAATAAATAGAGGTTTCAGTCATAAACTAAGCAAGAATAGTTATTTATGAAATCATCAGGAGGTAAAACAGCCATTACAGTAACTTACTATGAGTCGAACTGTACTAGTTACGTATTTTTAAAATTTCAAATTGTTTTGTACGGACTGCCGATCTGAGCTAAGGTGTGTAATATCGCTTTATCAGTGTCTCAGGGCATGGAGATTTAAGACTCAGACCGATAAAGTGGTACCGCAGGTTCAAAGAGTTAAAATAGTTATAGACATATCCTATTATTTGGGAAAATCAATGATTTTGTTACTGAAAATGTTTTGGGGTGGTAGGCAGCGCTGGTTAAGGAGTCATTACAAAATGTGACTAGTGCATTCTTTATGTAGGAACTTCTAAATGAGAAAGAGGAAGGCATCCACATGCTGCAAGTTGCTTTAGATAACCTGCAGATGGTCCTACCCAATACTTCAGTTCCTGGGCGGGACAACTTGAGACGGGACATGCAGATGTTACAGCAAGAATATGACATTTTGTCTGCTGATCTTAACGATGCCAAGACCCAGCTGGATGGCACACTGGCTCAATGGACAATGTATGATGACAGCATTGAGCAGCTGCAAAGATGGCTCAGAGACCTGGAAGCACAGATGGAGTCTGATGCACAGAAACAAAATACACTTCAAGAGAAAAAGTTACAACTGGAGAGAGTAAAGGTTGGTTCAGGAAATTTTTAAAATGTTTAACTTTTTTTCTGTTTGTGTTGTGCTATACAATGAGCTGTTTCATTTAGAACAACTGGAGTGAGTTTCAATGTCATTTATCTTATACAATAACACAAAAATTACTCTCTGTCACTGAACAATTGATCTCCTAGGTTCTACAACTGAACATCTCCAGCCAACAAAGCACCATAGATAATCTGAATGAAAAAGCCTTGACCTTGAAAAAGAACAGCCGTGATGGTAACTTGGGAGGTCAGATATCTCAAGTCATCAGCAGATTTGAGCAGCTGGTGAAGAGAGCTAAGGTAAAAATTATACAAACCGTTCTTTTTAAAGTAGTTTCAACACTACCATACTTAATTATAATCAGCATTATAAAACTTTATCCCTTACATGGTAAATTATATGTGTATCATTTTTATGTTGGCAATGTTTACACATAAAAATATTCTTTAGAATATGTTTATGTCTTCAACATCAGAACTTTTAGGTAAGCATTTTCATTTTGACTGGGTTTTTTGTGTGTCCTAAAACACAGTAAAGCTATGTACAATGAAATCAGTTTTATCACAGTAACAATATGATCCTACAAAGTTAACACACCCATTTCGACAAATATATTCTAGGAACTAAATGAACAATGTGAGAAAAATTTGAGAGACCATCAGATCTACAGAGACACCTATATGGACACATCTGAATGGCTGGGTGCAGCCATGGAAAAACTTAGCATGTGCAGCGATACTCGTGGGGATAGACATGCCATTGAGGCACAGCTTAGTAAAGTTGAGGTAAGATTTACTTTTATAGAGGCACAGCTTAGTAAAGTTGAGGTAAGATTTACTTTTATAGAAGCACAGCTCTTTAAAACTCTTTATGTGGAGTTGCAATCTTAACAAAATCTTGCAAAAATTAAAAACTGAAAACACTGAACATACATTTTTTTCACCATGGTATTTTTTTCCAGGAAATAATGTTGACAAGTGATGCAGGTAAACAGAAACTGGCTGAAGCACAACAGAAAGGTAAACTTGTTATCCCTGAAACGTCCAGCCATGGCCAAGATCTGATTCGCGAGGAACTGACCATGTTGACCAATGATTTTGAGGCCTTTGAAGCTGACTTAAGTGACCTAACTGAAACATTATGTAAGTTTTTCTTTTCATTTCTAGGCATCTTCCTTCTTCTACTGTGAGCCAAATGCTTACACAATGTATTACTGTCTATTTTTAGCAACACTGAAAGACCAGTGGACTTCTTATGAAATATTCTATGAGGAGCTGAGCCATTGGATCAAGGACACAGAAAACAGTATAAAGACTGAGTCGGACCTAAGGGCTACTCTTGACCAGAAACTTCGTCAATTAAACAATCATAAGGTTTTCTTAATTTATTGCATAGTGTGGTTTACTCCAGTTACTTTTTTTATGTTTGTTTCTATTTTCTCAAGATTATAAGCATATTTTATTAATGTAATTTTCTAACCTTATTACCATTTCCTTATTACCAGTCTGCTCATGAAGACATACTTAGACAACAAGAGTCATTTAATAAACTGGCAGAGAAGGCAAGAATTCTTATCCAGTCTTCCACAGATGGGAGAGTTTCAACACAGTTACACCAGCTCAGCACCAGATATGCTGCCCTCATCACTTTCTCTAAAGTAAACCTCTTACATTACATACTTTGTACACTATAATATGGTATAGAAATATTTTTAAAAAATCATAAATTGACATCTAGATTTCTATAAAATGATTAATTATGCAAATATGTATTGTGCAAAAAAGAGATAAATTTTCATATTTGAAATTAAGTTGCTTCTCTTCCCAACCACACAGGATCTGTTGAAAAGGTATGAGCAGACAGTCCAGGAACATGACCATTACAGTGAGGCTTACACCAGAGCAAGATCTTGGCTAAAAGAAACGCGTGTTAGGCTGTCAGTGTGTGCTGACACATCAGGTGATCGATACACAGTCCAGAGCCAGCTGGAAAAGCTGCAGGTTAATATCTTTATTTTTATTGTTCTTAGTGCTGCTGTTGTAGAATTTTATCATTTAATTGAATTTTTCTTGATTTATATGGAAAGATTGTTTGATTTGTTACTATATAATTATCTTTAAGTTATGTTTTATAAAATTGTTTAATGGTTTTATTATTCAGGAGTTTTTTGTGATCAAAGAGGAAGGACAAATATTTTTGCATTCTGCAATAACTTGGGGAGAAAAAACTATGGGCAATACCTCAGTTGAAGGGAGAGAAGTCATCAGAAATGAGCTAAATCAGTTACAGATAGAATGGGATCATTTGATTTCTGAAGTAAATTGTTTTTATTTATTTTAAAATTTCCATAAGATGGATAAAAAATATTTCTTTAGTATAACATGAGTGTCTATGTGCTAGAAATGTAATTAGAAAATGTTACCACAAATGTCTTCATGTTTCAATTGTGACCAGGTAACAGACACCAAAGTGCTGTTAGAATCTTGTTTGCTGCAGTGGAGTGATTACAATGTGTCACATGACCAAGTCTTGAAGTGGTTGAAAGACATGGAGAAGCGCTTGCGGGAGACAACACCTAAAGGAGATCTAGGGGAGAAGAAGGCAGAGCTGCAGAGAATTAAAGTGAGAAAAATAAACGATTCCACATTTTTAAATATGGAGTCTTCAAAAGTTTAAATATTTATGTTTTCCATCCACAAATGGGTAGCTAAAACAACAAACTGTTGCTTCTGTCCTAAGGGTCTGTACCAAGATATAGTCTCTTATGAGCAAATGGTAGAGTCAGTTTCCTCTAAAGCAACAGATCTAGCGGAGAAAAGCCCAGCCAATAGAGCAACCATAGATACGTCTCAGATACAAGGCAGATATGTCAGTGTGAAGGAACAAGCCAAGGTAAGCTTGAGTGTCAGCACTGTTTTCTCCCTTGTTAAGGACTGTTTAGTTAATAACTGGAACATTTTAAGACAGCTTGTCATAAAGAAAACTCCGCCATTTAATCTCTCAGGAGTTGCTGGCTCGCAGTGAGCAAAATGTTGCACACCATCAGGACTTCATTGACAGCTGCAACAGTTTTGCATCATGGTTACGCACAGCTACAGAGAAGCTTGCCACTTGCTCAGACACATATGGTGAAAAATCAGCAATAGAGAGTAAAGTTGACAGAGCAAAGGTGAAATGAGTATTCAATTTGTTTTAACTAAATAATGATTTTTTTTCCACGTCAAAGCTAATTTCTCACAACTGGAGTCCTGTATTCACATTAGTCTTTGCAGACCCTATTTGCTACCTGTATTTATGCTACTTACTTTGTCTTTCAACAGTCTTTGCTGACGAACTTGAATGAAGGAGCTCAACGCCTATCTCATGCAGTTAAGGCAGGGGAAGCCACTCTTCCCAGTACATCAGCTTCTGGACAAACTAAAATTAGACAAGAGTTGCAAGCAATCAACAGAGAATTTGAAGAATTTCGCCTACATCTAGTTGAGGTAGATCTTTCTGGTTCTTCAATTTGTAAATATTTTCTGTCATCCTTTTGTAGTTGGTCTCTAGAAAGTTTTCCTTATCAAAATATTCATGTATTTTCTCAGGCCCAATCTGATTTAGAAATTTGCTTGACCCGGTGGAATGAGTTTGAGCAAAGCTACCAAGAATTCAGCAACTGGCTGAGGGTAGTGGAGGTGCTGCTCAGAAGTGAGCTGGATTTGAAAGCTACAGTAGAAGAGAAAAAACACCATTGGGAGGAGTATCAGGTACACTGGGGTGGGAGTACTTGGTACTGTTAGACACTATTTACTTGCTACAAACCTAAAATCTCTGGGACATTTAATTGATCATGCAGATTGAAAATGTGATTATTTTGTTAATTGTCAAACCACTTTGTGATGTTTTTTACATCTTATTTATTGAAAAATTACAGACATATATACCAGTTACATGAGTCAGTAAATGCAATGACCTTGCCATCTCTTCCAGCTTCACCTAGAAGAGGCTGTCTCCCACCAGTCTTCCCTAGACAGGGTCAGTGAAAAAGCCCACGCCTTGCTACAGACTAATGCTGATGCCAAGACATCCCATGCCATCACACAGCTAACCACTAGGTACCATGGTGTCATCGCTCTGGCTAAGGTATACATTTTTACCAAGCACACTTTTGATTATACTTATTTATAATAATTGATTTAAAAAGTGAAAGGATGCTACTAGATGCTAAACTGTAAAGTAAGTTTAATGTCATGATCTGTTTTCAGGATACAACTGTCCACCTAGAGTCTAACTACAACCACCACAGACTGTACAAACAAAACCATCACCTGTTCATAGATTGGCTAAGGGAGATCAAACAGAGACTACAAGTCATTCATGATGACAAGGGAACCAAGGAAACTGTCTACAGCAAGCTCAGAGAACTTGATGTAAGTCTATGCCGAAGTTTCAAGCCTAGATAAAACACAATATACAGGGTCACTGTTGTTACAGAGTTTTTGTTTTGTTCAGGAAATTCAAGGTGGGCTAGATCAAGGCCACACTATCCTCCGTACAGTCCTGGACAGCTGTGAGAAGACACTACCAAACACCAATCAGAGGGGAGTTCATGTTTTAAGGGGGGAGGCTGACAGTGCCAAGCTGGAATATGAAAATGTGCTCACACAAGTTTCTCAGGTATGCCACACTTGTTACAGTAGTTTATGGTAAACAAAAAAGTTTCATTGCAACCGAAGTTAGGACATATTATTTTTATTTTGATCTGAAGGTAAAACGCAGCCTTGACAGTGCCCTAAACCACTGGTCAGACTTTGATGACCTGTACCAGCCAATGCTGGACTGGCTAACAGATCTAGAGCTCAGGCTTGGCTCTAGTCCAGAGTTTAAAACTGATCTTCCTGAGAAACGCTCAAGTCTTGAAAGATATAGAGTAAGCCAAATGTGTATCATCCCAAACAATAGAAGAACCTACGTGTATGATCTCATACTATATGAGTCAGCTAAGAATATCATCCCATACCTTAGCAACAAGTTATGTATATCATCCTAAAACATTGATCTAAGTATACCACTCTGTTTCATAGAAGTAAGCTAAGTATATTATCTCATCCCATAGAGCAGAAAGTGAAGAGTTTATAATACATGAAGTGTATCTACCCAATTAAATTGAAAAGAAAAAAAAAAGAACTTTTAGCATGAATTATTGCAACAGCTTCTCACTGTTTCAGGCTCTGTACTCAGATATAATTGCCCATAAGGAACAACTGAACAGGCTTGAAGAAAAGGCTGGGCAAGTGAAAGATGGTCTACCCAAATCAAAAATAGCAGAAATCAAGTCCAGGTTTTCAGTTCTACTTGATCATGCCAAGGTGAGTGTCATGTTAACTCACAATTCTTCACTTAACACCAGTTACATTTTCCCAATGATTTAACAATGTGTGTCATCTACACAAAACACTTGTGTTCCAGGAATATGTTGGCCATGTTGAAGAGCAAGTGGTAAGTCATGAAGAATACAGAAAGTCCTACATTGGCTGCCTAGACTGGCTGGCCAACACCAAACATAGATTACAACGTCTGGCTGATTATTCTGGTGACAAGAGAACACTTCAAGATCGACTGCATCAAATTAGGGTAACTTTCTTTTCTATTTTATATTTTTATTCATATGACAGTGTTGATTGCAACACATAAAAAACAGAATGTAGAGCTCTCAAAGCGTTGCAACTTTTTTACTTAAGAAACAACAATGACAATATGCTCTAGATCAGGGGTCTCCAAACTTTTCAGTCCGAGGGCAGCATTAACTATAAAATTTCAGTTAGGGGGCCAGTTTCTTCCAGGCATGTCTTTGATTTTTCTGGGCAAAGTTCCTCAGCCATCACCAACAGTTTTTTTCCGTGGACAAAAAGATCTCCGCGGGCCGGATGAGAGGACCTCGCGGGCCGCATCCGGCCCACAGGCCGTAGTTTGGAGACCCCTGCTCTAGATAATCAATAAATATAATTTTGATTTAAGAATTTTTTATTCTAATATGAAGGAGCTGAAATCAGAACTGACCCAAGGGCAAACAATGCTGAACCACACAGCCTCTCTAGGAGAAAAAGTTTGTCTGACAACATCACCTCGTGGGCAGGACTTGATTCATAGGGAGGTGGAAAGTCTGCGGGATGACTGGAAATCTTTCTCTGCAGCTTTTGGTGATGTTGAGCACAACCTAGAGGTGAGCATTTCTCACTGGATGCAGCTGGATGAAGAACACCTCAACTTTTCCAGCTGGCTGGAAAGGATGGAAGCCCGTGTCAGGAGTTGTCTGGAAACAAAGGCCAACCAGACAAGGAAACGGAGCCAATTACAGGAAGGGGAGGTCAGTATCCATTTTTTAAACATACCCATTTGTTTAAGTTGTAGTTTACAGCTTTAATAATTTGTAATTAATAAACTAATACAGTAATTACAATGTCTTAAATAAATTCCAGGACCTTTATGACGAAATCCTAGGCCACAAATCAGAACTGAACCGTGTGAAAGATAAAGGCGAATCTATTGCCCAGCGCAGCAGTGATATAAGGGTCTCAAACAACCTTATGCAGCTCTCAAATAAATACCAGTCTCTTTGTTCACTGGCTAAGGTAGAGAGCATATTTCTTGTCTGTAAACTGTGTGGATATCCATGGCTGCAGTTTTTCCTTCAACACTTTCTTTTATCTTTTCTTTAATGAATGTCTAAGTGTTGTTAATCTAGCAGAGCTCCATAAATATCTATTTTAGTTTTGCATTGTTCCTTCTAGAGTACCCAGCAAAAAAATAATTTTATCTTTGCTCAGACTACTGTGGCCAAACTCCGAGAATATGTCAATGACCACAGACTGTATGATGAGGCCTTGGACTCGGCTGCATCATGGTTAAAACAAATGAAGAAACGTGTACATGCTTGCAGTGACAGTTCTGGGGACTGGCATACTATACAGGACAGAATAGAAGATATCAAAGTTTGTGCATATTATTCACTTTTTAGACTTTCTTTTTCTGCTTAGATGAATTTCTCACCTTTTCAATGAACAAATAAATTATTTTATTTCTCTTAAATAAAAGTTTGCTATTGCTAAATTCTTCTAGAATTTAAGACCATGTCATTGAAAATAATAATTATGCTAATATAATTTAACACTTTTGGCCTTACCTTATTTTGCTCTCTATTTGCATATTTTTTAATATTCAGTTTTTTTTTCTGTGGTCAGCATTTAGAGTTTTCATGTTAGATGATTAAGACTAGCTACATACGCTAAAACAATCTGTCAATTCTTATAATCTAAAAAGCAAAAGTAGGATTGACTATTCCTCTTTAAAAAATGTTCTGCCCAATACTTTGGTGAAAACTTTGTCTTGCATATGTAAATATAATTAGTGCTTGATGAAAAATCATACACATGGGAGCAAAATCAAAAAGTCTAATTTTGTCATGAATGGGCATGAGAGCAGAAAAATAGAAAAGTATGTAGCTGGGACAATAAGGATTTAAACTATTAAGAAAGCTGGAGCAAGAAATGTCAGTGTTTCACCAGAAATTGCTTTGCTCTATTTTCAGGATGTCACAGCAAGCATGGACATAGGACTTCAGAAAGTAAATTATGTTTGTGACCAAGCGGAGAAAATCCTCCCTCAAACTTCCCTGGAAGGTAAAAAACTAATTGAAGAACAAGTAACTGAGCTGACCAATGAGTGGGAGGAGCTAAACTCAGCCATAGGGGACTGTACTGCCATGTTGGAGGGGGTGCAGCAGAGATGGCACGAGTACGAGCAGTACTATGGCAGTCTGGTCAAGTGGGTGGCAGATCTAGAGAACTTCTTGAGGGGACCACCAGAAGCCTGCGCTCATCTGTCTGACAGGAAAACACAGCTTGATAAGTACAGGGTAATTAGAATTTATCTCATTTAGACAGAACAGTTTTCTCTCATTAATTATAAAACTATAATGTTTATTAGTCAGCTGATCCCACAAAAAAAATCGTGCAGTGTTTTTCAATTATTTGCTTGTTTTCTCTTGTTGATTTTGATCTCTACCAAGAAATGTTTCTTCTGCAGATGATATTGTCTGATATAGAGAGCCATCGCAGGCTGGTCAATGAACTGGCTGACAGGGTTGCTAATCTAGAAGCCCTCTGTGACAACCCTGAGGTTTCAGATTCTCTTTCTGACATTCAGAGCAGATACTCCAAAATTTTACACAGATCTAAGGTAAGTGACTGACAAGTTTGCTACTCACATAGAACAGAGACCTAACAATTATAATTGTTTGTTTAGATGGCACCACCTTCTATGCTTTGCATGTACAATTTTCTAGGAGCTGGTAGAAAGCCTTCAACATGGGTATGAGGAGCATCAGTCATTCTTTGAAGCTCAACAAGATTGTGAAAGGTGGCTGTACAGCATGTCATACAAACTTATGTCGCTGAACACCTTGCATACTACGACCATGGAGCTGACCAGCAGACAGATTGACAAGCACAAGGTAGTTGAAACCTGGGTTTTATTTTGGCTCATGGTAAACATGCACAAGTTATCAAAGTCAAGCACTTGCATTTGGCTTGTGATGATACTTACTTAGTAAATCGCACCATAAATAAATATCACCCTTAAATGTTACAGTGGGAAGTGGGTAGTCTTGTCATTTTTTTTAGTAATTCAGTCACATTATAGTTAAGTCAGTTTTCTCAGTCAGTCACAACTTATTCTAGTAACTTTTTTTATTAATTCAGTCACATTTTATGCTACTTCAGCCATGTATTACATCACATTATATTAACAGATAATATTTTATGTCCCTTCAGCTTATTTTAACTGAGATAGAAGATTATCGCCAGACCTTGGATGCTGTTTCACGTCTTGGCCAACAACTTATTGTAAACAACTCACGTGTACCTAACTTAGCAACCCAGGTGAACGCACACCTGACCAATCTTGAAGAAAGTTACTTAAATCTACAAACTACAGCACACCAGATTAGGGTGAGTATATTAATTACTCTAAATACTATAATTCACACAGCATAACATAGGGTGGCTTGAGATAGCACTTTTACACAACATAAGTTTATCAACATTGCAACTTATGGACACTTCACTATACACTGAAGAAAATAATAATAATACATTTGAAGTAAAAATGATGCTAAAAACAACATAATTTTTTATCAAAGTAGAATAATGTTTTTACTACATAGTAGAAATATCAAGATATACTTGCCTTGAGTATTATGCTATACATATATTTTTAGAAGCTAGCAAACATTGGTTTGATGTTTCATGTGTGAAAAGTATACAGCAGTAGATTTAAACATTTATAATTATGATTACAGTATAATAATAAAACTGTTTGTTACAAAAACTTTTGGAAAACAATAATTTTTTTTTAAATCTGGTTTTCTGCATATTTAAAAAAAAAGTATGCATCTAAGTCTTACACAAACTGCACAATTAATATTCTCATATTTTCTTTAACATATACCTTTCATAATTAAATACAAACTTTTATCCAAACTTAGACAAAACATTTACTCTGCTATATGTATGTTATGCAATAGACCATACATGATTGATTATAAACCTAATTTATCATGATTTGAAAACAGAGTTATCACAATGTTGCCATTGGTTTCTAGCCAAATATAAATTTTATCCTGCTTTTTGTAAATGTTTATTTTCATGTTAAAAAAATAACAGTCTTAGCCTTTAGCATGTTTTAGTATGTTAACAAACTTTGCTCTAGGTGCATCAGTGTCACCATCAGAGTAAAACTGCTAGATTTTATTAATTTATTTACCTTTCTGTCTGTCATTGTTCTTGTGAAAAATGACTTAAGTACAGTACATGTAGTAACTAAACTAATCAACTTTTTATTGTTTATTCTTAATATGACTTTCTACATTTTATTTGTGTTGAAGACTAGATTTTTGAAAAATATTATAGATTGTTGTAAAATTGCTTTTTAAAAAACAACTGATTTCTCATTAAAAATCAACAATGTCATTCTAATACAGATTTTTGTTTATTTAATAATTCCCCTATTTTAATAAAAAATATGTAGTAAATGAATTAAAATGCTTAAATTTTAAATCATAATTCCAATTTTAGATTTTATTTTTCAAATGTAGATTATCAAAAAGATTATAGGCTAAAAAAATTTATAGTAAGGTAATAACAGGATTACTCTGAAAAACTTGAAAATTTCCCATCCTTTTTACTTCTGACGTCATCTTCTGTTTAATTACCTCTAAAAACTTATGACATTTTTTTCCAATTTTTTGCAGATGACTAGTCTGGTGTCATATTCTCCAAACGTAATTTTACGCTATTTTTAAGTGCAGCCTTTAATGAAGTAGTAGAGCTAGAATTTTTGTAGCCTCATCAATTTATTATTCACAATTAAATAACTTGATAACATTTTTTGCACAATGACAACTTTTTGTAAGAAGATATTGTTTGTTATAACTAAAAGTTAAAACTTTATAGAGCTTTTAAATTATTTGTGCTTTTTTTGCTTCAAGTAGATTGAGTTAATAGCATCAGAAATAGTTTTATATTTGTACATGAATATATTCCCATGAAGACATTTAGCATTCCCTAGTACCCTGAACAGACTCTAGAGTCCTGCCTGAAATCATATAATCAAAAGACAGTCAATACACTCTCTATTATATGTATTCTGTTTGAGTAGCTTGATAGTTTTTTTCTAGAAATGTTTTCTTACTACATAATTTTAAAAAAAAATCTTAAAATTTTGTTCATGTTGTAATTTTTACTAACAACTTTGAACATTGTTATTTTGTTTGGTTATTTTTAGTAACTTGAGATTACCCATAAAAAAATATAAAAAGCAAGCTTTCTGCTATTTAATATAAGATGGTTTCTAATGTTTTATTATTGTAATTTATAGAGTGTTACAGCTATCAAAATATATTTATTATAACTATTTATTATCTGTTTGATGGTAGTTTAAAAAGTTTTTAAACTCATCCACTAAACTTATTGTGTCCGTCCACCATTCTGTAAACTCATCCACTACACTTATGGTGTCCGTCCAAAATACCAGTATTATATATAAGAACAAATGAATAAATGTTCTGCTAACTTCCATAGTAAGTAGTTTTTTAAATAATTGTTTATCAGCATCTTTGATTGTGCTTGTTATTCAGACTGTTTTATTAATTTATTTTATGTATGAAGAAAATGTGTATTTTATAATTTATGAATTTACATATATCAGTAGGTTATATGAGAACTGTGATACTGTGTATATTATATACTTTAATGCTATGGTTTTTTTTTACCAAGAACGCCAAAACAGCTGTATCTGTGATTATTTTTTAACATATTTTCTATGATTTTAAAATTTCTAACATATTTTGAATAAAATGTATTCAATGTTATAAGCTACTGCTTTTGTTTTACTTCAATGAAATCAGTCTTTTTTATTTTTGCTTGTTAGGGCAAACCAATGGCAACATTCTCATCCAATAAACCCATGTCCATTTTCCTAGTCATGGGTTTTTTAAGTGAGAACTTACTAAAAATTTATGATAACTTGATAAATTTCAGATTATGATGGCTAATAAAAAAATAAACACCCTCTCATATCTCATATAAAAAGCATTACTTTTTAAAAGTGTGTGAACTTATAAAATGTGTGACCACTGCATAAAGAACCTATTGCAAAATTTTGGTTTGTCCCTAATAATAAGCTGTTTGTGTTTCAACATAAAGTAAAAAAAGTAAACATGCAGCAAATTTATTTTTTGTTTAAGTCCCTTATACAAAAAGTTATCTAAAGTCATTTTAATACACAAACTTTGAATGGTTGTTCTAACAAAAGACAGCTACCTAATGATCCAAATCTTATCCCAAATTGTGTAATCATTTTAAGTTTCATTACATTTAAAAAAAAAAAGATTTTGCCTGCCAAATCTTTAAATTTTCACTAGGCTTACGTCCTACATATTGGATAATTAGGACTACAGGTTTGTACAAATGCTCTATTTACAGCTGGTATGAGAAGTGGTATACAGGGTTAAACTTATGGCCCTTGTGGCAAAAATGCTCTATAGAGTTATACAGCACGCATATGTAGCCTCAGCTACAGACTTATTTCTTAGTCTAGGGTCTTGTTGGACCACAGGTGTATTTGTTTGTGTTATAACTGACCACATCACATTTAACTACTACAATAGCATTGTTTAAAAGATCTTTTAATTATGGTAATTATTACAATGAAAATAAAAATAGAAGTAATAATGACACTGGTTTTACAACATGTAACATGAGATATTGACTGGCTTGATCTTTTTTGATTCACCAAGGAAGTCAATAATTACACTGCTGTTTTATCCAGTTGTCTTATGTACATTCTATCACCAGGCTGACCAACTTCAAATGCAATCCTCTACAGACTGTGCCAAATAATAAAAATAAGTTTCTCAATAGAAAACAAGTGCCATAGCACCAGATTAATTATCTTCTTATTTTGGCCATTGCATTAGCACCAAAAAAATATGTGTACCTCCCAAGATGGGAAAAGGTAGCGTCTCTACCCTACAGGTCACATGATTCAAACTCAACCCTCCTGACCGCAGTATGAGGTCAAGGCCCAGTCAACTCATACCGCTGGGATCTAGGTCCTGGAATGTACCATTACCTGTGTGGTAGCAAGAAGGGGGTAGAGGTGGAGACACAATGATAGATATTTAGAGAATCTATCATAACAGACCTACTTGCTCCTCATATTCGTGGGAAATCACATCTTAAATCTTACATCCAGGTGCCTAGAGGATTAGTCCCCTACCCAAGATAGTCTACAGTGGTAGATTGGTGTTGGTATAGGATGTGCATGTTGGCCATGTATCAGAGCCTGGCCCTTGTTCTGTTAGTTTTGGTTGATAGGGGTCTTCCTGACCTGGCTCAATGCTAGCTTTAGGTGTATGTAAGGAGAGGGGGGGGGTCTCTTTTACTCTGTATCCAAGATACCAGGTTTACCTCGTGCACATCCGGTATAAAAACAAGGAGGCCATTTAAACAAGAGCATATACAATCATCATGTAATGTACATAACTACATAGCTGGAAAATTTTCTTTTGGCTGGTGAAGTTTTTCTACACATAACCCTAGGACCAAAATAATTTATGTTGGCAGAAGAGGTTTAGCTACACATTAACACATGGCTAAAATAATTTCTCGAGGCAGAAGAGGTTTAGTTGAGCAATACAACATGGCCAAAATAATTTCTGTTGTCAGAAGAGGTTTAGCTGTACATACATAAATGGCTAAAATAATTTTAAAAATGTTTCAACACACTATATAAGTATCAGAATTACTTTTAAATAAATTAAATAAAAATATCAGTTACAAAACATTGCAGCATTTATCTAGCAGAATCTATTTCTATTGACTGGCTGAGGCATGCTTCAAAACTAGAATTTGATTTAAATACAACAATGTTTTAGTTAAAATGTAATCTTATTAACTTTTTAACCTATGCCAATAAAGCAGTCGTGGAAGAAATATTGTTTACAAATAATATTATTTGATAACAGCTGAAAAGCAGTCAACAAATATAAAAAATAAAAACCCATTATTTCTCTCTTGATTCATTTTAAAATAATTAAATTTTAAACTTGTAATAAAATGGTATGCCTAGTGTTTTGTGGAATAGTAATATGTTTTATTTGATTCTACTTTTCAGGACAGATTGAATGAAATATTTCAGAAATGGCAGTCATACAAAAATCTGCTAGATTCTTCTCATGACTATCTCACCAAAAGCTTTCCTGACTGGCTGGCACTAGCTGAGAAAAGCATACCAGACACTCTTGAACAAACTCAGAAGCAAAGAGAGGAGACTCAGGTCCATTTTTAAATAATATTTTATCATTTGTTTCATTGTTATCATTTGTTTCATATATTGATGTCTCAACTGTTGCAAAAATAAAAAGAATTAATTCTGAGAAAATAAACAAAGTAAATATTGAACTTACAGGCGGAGCTGGAGAAACTGATGGCCATGAAACAAGCACTAGTTAATGCACTGAAACAATGCAGCAATGTGGGCAGCACTGAAGATCTGGACAAAGCAGAGGAGAAATTAGAATCAGCTGTGACACAGTTTGCTGAGCAGGTCCACTCTGAGATATCTGCATGTGTCAACCAGGTAAACAACCAAACTTATGCTTTTGTTCTTTACTTGAACAATATCTCAAACTCTTCATAAACAAGCTAACATTTTGTTTCATTTTAAAAGCATTCATAATATTTCTATTTTTTTAAAATAATCAGGCAGAGAAGCGTCTAGATCGACTTAGAGAAATGATGCTGAAATGGGATTCAGTAGACAAAATGAGACAAGATCTCCGTCATTGGCTACGAATAAAACAAGAAGAGTTAGATGAGATGGAGAACCAGCCTAGTAAATTACATACAGAAGCTGCTGAGTTAGACATAGAGAGGTTAAAGGTGACCAGCTTGATTATGTAGCTTCCCTTATACTGTAAAGTTTCCTGTACTATAGGGTACATCATGATTTAGTATTTCAGTTAGACTATGGTTTATGTACTGTAGAATACATCATGTTCCTTAATATTTAAGGCCTTCCAAGATGAAATAAGATTAAGATCATCAGCAATAGAAGAACTACAAAATCAACACAGGTCCCTGACTGAACACAACCCTACAGTTATAGATCCTGTTATACAAGCTATTAAGGTTGGCTGAAATCTTTTATTTTCTAAGCTTACAGAATACATTAAATTTATTTAAAATGAGTAGTTTTCTATCAAGAGTAAACATATTGAAGAAGTGAATGTGATATATGTAACTGTGCAACAGGATGACTGGGAAGAGATGTTGGGCCAGTTGGACATACTGATACATGAACGTGAGACTGCAATGGCTCAAGCCAAGGCTTTACAGGCCCATCAAGAAACCATGGATGAAGACTTGGAGAACTATGCTAGAGAACTGGAGAAACTGGACAGGACAGGCAATGCATTGTTGGACAAGAGTCTTCAAATGCAGGTAACCATTGTGGTATTTTTTTTTCTTTTTTGAATTGTCAGAAAAATCTAATTATTTCCAACAAATTCAATTAAATTATAAAGCATGCAAAGTTCATTATTTAAGCAAAGCTGAAAGATTGCCATTCAAAGTGCCTCGTGATTTTATGTATCTTAGTAAGCTAAAAAAAATTACATTAATCAAATAGTTTTTTAACATAATATATTTACCTTGAACGTCCTTTTGTATAAATTTGATACTGAATATAAACATCTTTACTTTATGGTATTTTCATTGGTATCAAATCACAAGATTTGATTGAAAATTTTATTTTAAGAACATATTGGCTTGGTTTGTTTGTGTGTTATAATAGGCTGATAACTTTTCTCTAGTGAATATTCAATGTGCACCAAAATAATTTTATGTAAAAATTAAACAAAACGCACATGATAATTGGTTGTGAAAATACATTAGTTTATAAGTATACTTTTTGTTTTGATAAAATATGACTAGTTCTTTTTTTAGTTCTAAACTTTACAATTAAGTTAATTTAATTTGCATCAAATTTTCCTATTTGCATTTGATTTCTTAAATAATTTTTTTTATGTTTATTTTTGTGCACATAGATTTCTGCTTTAATATTTTTTTGTTTTGCCCCTCATAAAAAAATTGTCAAGATATTTAGGTGCATGCATTTTATAAGTGCCTATATTTTACTTTAGAAACCTAATATTTTTTCTAGTAGAAGCTAAGAAATTTTAAAAACTTGTTTTATATTTTTCTTTTCATTTAGATTTAGACCATTTTAGTAATATGTTCTGTTTTCAATCGTCATATTAAAATACTTACACATGCCAACACTTTTCTTTATAAAAAACATTTTATCCTAACAATTACTTTCAAATATAGACCAATAATTTATTCCGAATCAAAAAGTTCAAGCCCAAATTTATAATTTCAAAGATTCACAACCCTGTAAATATTCTACTGAAGATTTTATGTCAGATTTGCATGACTTTTGAAGTTCTTGACATTTACTAAAATTTAAGGTGGTGTTTATAAATATCATTAAATATTCTTAAGTAGTGAAAATTATAAAAACAATAAACATATCGATGGAAATTGGAAGCAGAACATTCCTCCCCCACCCCAAGTCATTTCTCCCAACTTATCCCAGGTCAATATGCAAAACCGCAAAACTTGATTAGAACATTTACACCCCCCCCCCCCTAATTCCATTTTGGAAGGCATAAGCTCATTTACACTTACCTTGTTCCCCTTATATGGTATTCTATAGGCAAAGTACAAAGCTCAATATACTTTGTACTCTGTCAGCCAATTTAGTCAGTCTATTAAATGCAGTGTTTCTTACTTTGCTAATATAATGTGTAAAATAGGTACTCTTGATCTGGCATGGGAGGGGTGATAATATCCTAGACCTGCTTCTTTATTCTATTGATTTATTAAATTATTGTTTTTAGATAAATCTCTACAATAATTCTCAGCACAGCAAATAAAATATACCTAGATGTGAATTTTTAAAGAATTAATGAGAAAATTTAAAAAGTCAAAGTAGATAGTATCCACACAAACAAGCCATGTCAGAGCTTTTTGTTCCTCGGTAAAGAAAACAAAATTGCTTACTAGGTAAAGTGTAGGAAATACAAATAGTGTCCCAGTAAATGAATGACTGTAAATAAATAACTGTTATGTTTATTCATTGTGGCTTGTATGTATAAAGAACGTCTGTATTGAATTCTCTTACGATTCTCAGGTTGGTATATAAACAACTATTTTACTCCCTAAATCTTCTTACCTCAGTATCACATTTTATTCTATACATTTTTCTATTCTTTTTGCTAGTTAGTAATTTTTTTAAACATCTCAGACATCTGTAATATAATATTTTCTTTTAGATTTGAAACTGATTCTCTTTCTTCTGATATATTTTAGAGGTGTCATTTACATTTGTTTTAATGTTAGTTTTATTTGTTAGATCAACTAGTTAGCTTAGTTGTACTAATTAAAATGATATGTCTTGTAACTAAAAAAGGGGCTCTTTTGCATTTGAAGTACGAATTTCATTTGTATAAGAATAAATAATTATCAAGATTTAAAAAATGTGTTGCTTACCTGATTATTGTTAAGATAAGATTTTTTAAAGGGATGCATGCACTTAAATGATCATTTAAATTGGTTCACTCTTATATGTGTTGATTTTCATAAAAATAAATCTTTATTCTTTTTTTTTTTTTTACTTCAATGCACTATGGTTTTTAGTGTCACATATGCATTTATATGAATTTTTTTTATAAAAAAGAGCTTTTCTGTAGATGAGACATAAAGCAGCATCAACTTCTACTGGTCTAGGGCACATACATATTGAGTTTAAGGGAAACTGGTCTAGAAGCACATAAATATTGAGTTTAAGAGAAACTGGTCTAGGGCACATAAATATTGAGTTTGGTGGAAACTGGTCTAGGGCACATAATTATATAAACTAACAGTGAGTAGAATACCAAGTACCAACAGTTCATATTTTATGTAGGTTTGTGAAAATCCTACTTTTATTTTGGAAGAAATGTTTCCAAAAAAGTCTGCTTAAGGTTGAGTATATCCATATACACTGCAATAGAGTTGTCCATTCTCCTGATGTCTACATGTAGTTTGAAATAGAAGCCTGTCTTGTGCCTGAAAAAGTTGATCTGAGTTCTGGAAGTGTTCATGAGATTTTTAGTTGCAGCCTGCTTTTTCTAAAGTGTGAACTGCATGAAATAGGTTTTTTAGTCATTTCTTATTTACTAGGCTTACTTGTATACAATTCAGAAGACTTTTTAAAAGATTTGGATTATTATTTCTTTAACAATATGGCCTTTTAGGCGGTCATTTACAGGAAGTATTTCTTGGATAACCAGGAAATAGACAGTATTGATTGAAAAGTACACTTGTCAGCACAATTAAATAAACTGATCAATCAATCATTATTGATCATGGCATGAAAAGAGTATGGTCTTGTTTTCTGGTTAGGTTATCAGCACTAGCTCCCTTTATGAGGCTTGAATAAAGCATTCCCTGCAGACATGTGAGTCGCTCTATAAGCTGTGAATAAAGCATTCCCTACAGACTTGAATGTACCATGTTAACTTGGACTGGTCTATGTGTGTAATATGTGCTGGAAATGAACTCTGTTGTTAGCTAGGGTTCATACTGAAACTTTGTGGATAACTAGAAGTTGGTGAAAATATTGTGTTTGTTGGTTCACTAGAAGTTGATGAAAATATTGTGTTTGTTGGTTCACTAGAAGTTGATGAAAATATTGGGTTTGTTGGTTCACTAGAAGTTGATGAAAATATTGGGTTTGTTGGTTCACTAGAAGTTGATGAAAATATTGTGTTTGTTGGTTCACTAGAAGTTGATGAAAATATTGTGTTTGTTGGTTCACTAGAAGTTGATGAAAATATTGTGTTTGTTGGTTCACTAGAAGTTGATGAAAATATTGTGTTTGTTGGTTCACTAGAAGTTGATGAAAATATTGTGTTTGTTGGTTCACTAGAAGTTGATGAACATATTGTGTTTGTTGGTTCACTAGAAGTTGATGAACATATTATGTTTGTTGGTTCACTAGAAGTTGATGAAATATAGTTTTTTAGAAGCTGCTGTATTTGTGGTTTACGATTATTAGATCACTTTATCCATATTTAGCAGATAAAAACTAAGTTTTTCTGCATAAAATCAAGAAATCACAACTAAGCCACTAGTTCTCTCTATCGCTGTGCTTTTAAGCAGGTACATTTCCTTTATTTCTCTGCTTAAGTCATCATATCAACATCTTTTTAAATAGAACCAGGACTGTCAAAAGCTCTCTGTGTTAGTTTAACTTAGTTTAAGGTTCATGTTTACAAAAGAAACAATCTAAAAGCCATTGGAGGCTTTGAAAGATGTCAAAACAAAAGATTTTATAAGGCAGATGAAGATTACCCAATAGTGTGGACAGTTCTATGCCCTATTGCCTTGAACTGATAGACTCCACCCTGCCACACTGTCCTATTACAGATTATGTAATAATGGAAAGTTTTATATAAAGTAAGGCAATATAACCAACGGTCAAGGGAAATTACATTATGAGACATTTTGCAGCAGACAGTAGATGGGTCAGATTGTCACAAAATGTACTTGAAATCATCAATTGAAGGTCTGTCTCAGTGAAAAAATATTATTTACAAAAATCTTGTAGTATTGGAAACAGTGGTCAGTCTTATATTGAATATTTGTTTGCTGTATTTAATGTATTTAATTTTTTCTTTTTTTTTGCTTTATTTTGAAGCCTTGCTTTGTAGATAGAAAACAAAATATTTGAGCTTTGCTGTTACAGCTTTTAGACATGTTTTTCTTTGATTAAAACTAATTCTTTCTCAATTTTTCCTTGCTAACCACAGTATTTAGCAAGTAAGACAAATCAAGCCAAAAGTCTTTTTAATCCTGCAAATAACATTTCAAAATTATCAAACTGTTTATCTCAGTGTCATGATGTTTTAAAATGTTGTTTATTATAAAGTTAAGTAGCTATTTTTGAAAATGAGTATTTGACATGCCATATGTCTTTGTTTAGACTGAAAGGCGTCCATGCAGATCAACACAAACAAAGCCACAACCTACTGACTCCGACAGTGAGGACGAGAGGCCTGGGGGCTTTCCTTGGAAATCTTCTAAAGGGGCTAGAGGGAAAGGAAATTTGAGCGGAGGATCACATCTTTTCCATGGTGGTGCTGGACCACACTTTACTAACCTCTCCCATTTGCGAGGATCTCGGAGCGCCCTAGGCAAATCCCCTAACACATCTAGATCAAGCTTGAGACCACGACGACGACACAATGACTCCCAGGACTTGAAGTCTTTCAAAAAAGGTGCGGCTGGAGCCAATGCTACCATAGAGTCAGAGAGTGAAGAGTCTGGTTATGGTGAGACCTGTGGAGAAACCACCATGCAAGCATTAAGTTTTGATGAGCCTTCACTTTGGCTGG